AAGAAACTATTGAGTTTTACCTCTTCGTATTTCTCAGCTTGTTACGGGAGATTGGTCAGAGGTTTGATTTATTTGTATATCCTCAACCATTTTATGTATAGCTTGAACCACTTGTATTAAACGTAAGTCCTTAGCTTAATGTTTACCCAATGGTAAAAGCTTACAACATTGTTATGCCATGTGAAGTGCCCTATATATTATGTCATGTGTTGCAACCAGAGTTTCTTTCACGCATCTCTTCGGGAGGGGGCACCGCTCCCCCCCCCCCCCCCCACACACACACACACACCCACCCCCTCCAGCGAAATATATTTTATATAGAAATATATACTTTTACCAGTGTACGTCTTCCCCCCCCCCCCTCCCCCCATCTGAAGAAAAAGTAGTCGGAAAGAAACAATGTTTGCAACATCCTACAATGATGCTTTAAATTATTTAAAACTTTGTATGCATTATATGACAAATACATATATCATTATCTACTGCTTTGTACATTATTTTTATTTTGCCCATATTCTATGTTATAGATTATAACTCATACAAAAAACTAACCTTGATTCTTAAACCTAAAATACTTATTTCTAGACAAAGCAGAGTATAAACGCGGCATATTATGGATTTTTAAATTACGTCGATGTCCCATTCGCTTAGTGCTAAATAACCATAAATGTAGTAGCCCTTCACGATATGATAATCGCTGTAAGAGTTACAATTTACTTTTATATACATATAGGCCTACAATAATATAAATGTAGCGGGATCCTAAGCTGTTTAGTATGTGTGTTAACTTAATTATTCATACAATCATTTTGTTTCCAACGCGCAATATTTGCTTTATCCTCTAGCATTGTTCTATAGCAGTCTACAACTGCACGGGACTTGTAAATCGATAATGTCTTTAATCATTAATTAATGAAAAGCTTTTAGACCACACATAATACAAGGCATGGTCGTCACTAAAGCACTTCGATACGCCGAAAATAGATCAAGATTTCTTGTTTGTTTAATTAATTGCCTTCGACTAGCTCATACATGCGCTTTCAATCTGTAACCGGCGCTAGCGTGTTGGCTATTCACTCATCGGTATAGACCATGGGTCTCCAAACTTTTCAGTCCGAGGGCCGCATTAACTATCAAATTTCAGTTCGGGGGCCAGTTTCTTCCAGGCAATTCTTTGATTTTTCTGGGCAAAGTTCCTCAGCTATCACCAACAAACGTTTTTTCCGTGGACAAAAAGATCTCCGCGGGCCGGATGAGAGGACGTCGCGGGCCGCATCCGGCCCGCGGGCCGTAGTTTGGAGACCCCTGGAGTATAGACACTTGGACTTAATAGGGGGCGTAGTAAAACAATCAGTAAGGTTATTTTAGATGTAGGTTACATTTTAAGAAAGAGTTCGCATTGTTCTAATTAAACACTTTTCTTTTTTAAAAATCGATTCGGGCGTTGTTGAGGGGTGTGGGGAAATTGCGAGACGCGAAAAGCGAAATGGCGAGGCGGGAAAATGCGAGAAGGTAATGCGAGACATACCTGCGGAATTAAGGGTAAATAGCGAGACACTTTTTGCGAAAAAAGTTTTTTCCTTTTTTTTCCATCTTTATTTATTCCAATTATTTTTTAAAATATTTTAAAAATAAACAAGTATTTAACCATACCCTTTAACACGAGTGTTGTATGTTGTTATTTTTTATCTAGATACTAAGAAGATAAATAGATCTATATCTAGATCTATCTATTTAAAAATCCTAACATCGTTGCTGTGCTACTGTCATCGCCCGCTCTTGTTAGCGAGAGGAAAATCCTGTCTCAGTCGGCATTAATTTAAAAATCTAGCCCGCTCATGTTTATACAAACGTGAGCTGTGTCATTGTGAATTGGTATAATCTTGTCAGCAGGAGAGATATTTTGCAACATCTATTTATGGATTTTTGTACTTGCAGAAAGTGTAAAAGTATAAACAATTCTAAAAAGTGCAATTAATTTTTTTATTAAGTTATTTTAATTACAAACAAAATTTACAAACAAAATCTTCTGAAACAGTCCTCAAACACACCTCGTGACACCATCTTTCACACATAGTACACCCAACCCAGTTCATTAGACTCCCATTTATACATTTTTCTTTTGCTACTTCTTCTATTCCACATTCACAACATTTCACATTCTCATCACAGTTGACCTCGTTCATCCCACAAACAACACTGGCACCCATGTTCTCATCATCATCATCATCCGCACGCTCAACATCTGTTTTCCGTTTTTTATAATTTGTATTTTTTATCACTTCTGTAATTTTGGCAATGTCTTGCTCATTGTTGTCACCAGCAGTTGAGTTTTTTTAAAACATCGATATTTTCCCAAAATCTTATCTAATTTCGGTCAAAATAGAGTATTTTAATCAATTCCTATTACAATGTATTAAAACAGTTTTCTAAAACGCGAAAAAAAACGTCTAAAATTCTTTTTCTAACATTGCTTTTTTATAGTGTGACTTCAAATCTACCCCCCCCCCCCCCTCCTCCCCCTCATCACACATCGTCATAAAATTACATCCCCCCTACGAGTGTGACGTCACTTATGGAAGACTCCCAAATAACACCACCACCAAAACCAAAAAATTCAGATAAGTTCAACTTGGTTTTAAAAATATTTGAAGTAGGCCCATAGCTTACGATATAGCACGAGCAACTGATAATATCGGTGACGTCACTTTATTTTGTTGTATCCAAATTATGTAGGCATTTCCTTGTGCTAAGATTTATATGGTAAAAAAAGCTAGAAAAAAATCGTAGGCGGCGGCTATAATACAAAATTTCTATGCAACAAAAGAAAATATGTTTGCGGCGGCAGCGGATCCGGGCACGGCGATCTTCAAAGACGGTAAATCAGGCGGCCTCGGTGTTCCACACAAAAGACAGAAGTTGATCTATCGTCGGCGGTATTTCCGTCGGTTTCGAACAAGGTGGTATTCTAAGTCGACATAAAAGATGGGGGGAGTTGACAAATCATCAGTATGTCTAGCGACGGAAAAATCGGAAGTTTTAACAATGTAAACGAAACGTCTTTGAATTCTGGACCAAATACCACTGAAAATCGGGTGCGGTAAATTTTTCGCAGAAATCTTCGCATTTCAACACCACCCAGCGTAAGTATCGGCTTGTGGTAAAATGCGAGACAAAAAAGTCACGTGACCGACCGTTTTCGCGCCCTTCTCGCATTTTCCCGCCTCGCCATTTCGCTTTTCGCGTCTCGCAATTTCCCCACACCCGTTGTTGAGAGAAATATTCAATTTTTTTTTAAAAACAAATAGCAACTTCCGACCCAGGCGTAGAACTGTCACAACAAATTCTTTTATGAACCAATATATCAATTACCAGAGCAGATGTTGATGAAGCATGTCAAACTCTCACACGAAACACAATTTTCGCACCGTCAACATACATAACGTTTTAAATCTGCATAAATTTAATTTAAAAACACAGTATATTCTAAGTCACATCCTATGAATTAAAGTGCCAATATGTGAAAAAAAAAAAGACCAAAAAAACCACAAATTTTTCTTATAAAAAAGACCTCATGCGCGGAGTACCGAATTCCAACGTCCACACATTTGTTACGTCACATCCGGCCCGCCTACATTGGAACAACTAAACTACTTGAAAGCATTCAAATATTTTTACCAACCGGGGCGCATTCAAATATTATACTAACCGGGTGAATCGTTTCCTCAACAGCATAACATTTTCAAACAATGGCACTCGTGTTAAATATGTATACCTCGTATTGTTTCACATGTAACACCTCACTGAAGCAAGGATATTGTCAAAGCAACGTCTGTTTAGCCGTAAGCTTCTTGAATGGACATTTGTAGCTATAGGGATGTAGACTATAGGCCGCATGCGAGGGAAACCCGTCTGTATTGTTTTCCTTAGGAACCATTAAAAATTCATGTTGCACATCCTCCGAGCATCCTTTACCGCAACTCCTGATTATACACAAATCGGATTTAAACGAAAGTTTTGAGCACTGATCATACCCAGCGTTTCTTTCAGGCATCTCTTCAGGGGAGGGGCACCGCCTCACTCCCACCGAAGCATGTCTACCCCCCCCCCCCCCCCCAACAAAATAGAATTGATATTTAAACTATATATATATTTACCAGTATTCGCCACTACTCCCCCCCCCCCAAAAAAAAAGTTGTAGCCCCCCCCCCCCCACCACCGCAACCGGAGGAAAAAGTCTGAAAGAAACCCTGATCATAACTGTTTCAACTTTCAACTATATGGAGGCAGACACTGGAAACGTTATCGGTAACTAATAGATGGCTTGTCATTAAGCGAGACACATTGTTTTATAGTACAATACTTTTTAAAGAGTTCCCTGAAGTACCTTTCTATTGATCATTCACTATAGATCATCCACTGGGGTTTGATAGTTTAGATCTTCACACTGGGAGGAGCGAAAGGAAGTTTCTGTCGTTGCTTTGAACACCTAGCCTAATCATAGAAACTGGCGAAAATTTGGGATATAATTTCCGCTGTTTCCAGACTTTTGTTGAATCTACGTGATAACTTTCCTTGTTTAAATTCAAATTAACATCTTTACATTTGTGAGATTTAGGGATATCGTGTAGGCTTAAATTTTAATTTTCATTTTTAGAAATATTTCACGGACTACTACGAGACAATTTAATGTTGCTTCATGATATTGTTCATGAATTTTGTTTATAAAAAAAATTAATGTGCAGGTTATTTTAATAAGGACAAGAACTGTACTTTAATAACTAATATTTTGTTGTATGTCGTCCAGAAAAAAAAAATTCTCATCTCACTAAAGGCGATTTTCTATCCTCTTGATTCATACGCAAATTAAAAAATAAAATAGTTTTAAAGTATTTTCAGCTCTTAAATCCTTTTTAATTCCTACAAAATTAAAGGAAACTAAATTATGAAAATGATGCAAGTAAATTGTTCAAGTTCCAAAATGTATATCATTGAAACATTCTAAAATAAACATCTTTTATAACAGTCGTAAAGAATTCAGACGAAACTGTGTTTCATTTAAAGCTTATGTTATTTCACTACTATACAAGACAAATATATCGACATACTACGGCTGAATAATTGATTTTTTATTACAAATCATGGATGAATTTTCTGATGTGGATATAGTTTGGAACATAGACGTCATCGATGACTCCTTAGTTGGTCGTCTAGCTGACAAAGATGATCCGAAGGAGGATATCGACCAACAACACGAACACCTACGGTTCGAAAGATCAATTTCAGAAGCGGAAATCCTACGCAAGGAACAAACCAACTCAAGAAACAGTAAAAAGAAAAAGAAGAACAAAGGAGTCGAGAAGGATATGACGAACAGCATGAAGTTTCAAAACAATCCTGTGTTGTTCCCAGAAATCGAATTGGCCAATTCTAAAATGGTGCAGTGTGGAGTGAGTGGTTTCACTGATGGGTACTGGGTGAACTCCAGTCAAAACACAAACATAGACACTGGAATCACCGATTCTGTTATAGATTTTGAAGCCATAAATTTGAATCTAAATTCTACAGATGAGCATGTTTCTAAGAAGGACGCCCACAAATCGGATATTTCCGAGAAAGAGAAACACAACACGGAAAAAGCCGAAGAGAAGAAAAAATCGAGACGTAAATCACGCAGCAAATCGGATGAAGACGGGAAAAGGCGCAGAAGAAGAAGTAAAAGTAAACGTAACGGAAGTAAAAGTCCGCCCGTACCGAGGAGGATAGCCTGCCACTGCAAACACGAGTTTCCGGTCAGGATCGAATACAAAAACCAGTCAACTTTGACCGACGATTACGGAGAGCAGCAGAGAAAGGGATGGGTATGGCATTCCTTTTACATCTGTTTGATCACCAGCACAGATCACGGTAACATTCGTTGTAGATACTCACTATCTTACTGTAGATACTCACTATCTTACTGCAGATACTCACTATCTTACAGTAGATACTCACTTTATTACAGCTCACCTTTCTATTCAGCATTAAACCCGGTGTAAAGAAACGACTACCGTAATCGATACTGTCAAACGGCATCATCGTTAACGATACCTTACCCAAACCGCCCGTGAACCGCCTAATCTGAAAGTTAGCTTTTTAAAAATTAAGGGTTTAGAGGTCCATTCCTTAATGACGTCACGCTTTTTAAAAAAAAAAAACTCCCACGTTGTCAGAAAAAGCCAGACCATTCACCTCCTCCCTCCCCCCCCCCCCCAATAACGTCCCGCCTCAGCCTACAATCCCCCTCAACATTTCAGTTTATTTTTTTAAACATCAATTTTTTTCTAAAATCTTGACTGAGCTCGTCGTCATAGAGTATTTTAAGAAATTACTATAAGTTTTTAAAACAATTTGCTAAAACGAGAGATTACGGCTAAAATTTCTAACACTTTCTGACCCCCCTCCCCAGAGGCGTAGCGACCCTTCCCGGCGCCCGGGGACAAACTTTTCGATTAGCACCCCCCCTCAAGATTTCGATTTGCACCCCCCCCCCCCCAAACTTTTGATTTGCACCCCCCCCCCTCAAACTTTCGATTTGCACCCCCCCTCAACCTTTCAATTTATTTTTCCAACCCATTTTGGCGCCCCCTATGGTCGGCTCCCGAGGACATGTCCCCCCCCCCCCGCCCCGCCCCCTCGCTAGCCTACGCTACTGCCCCCCCCCCCCTCCCATGGCAAATCGTCACAAAATTACGGACCCCTTACGAGTGTAAGTTCATTTATGGATGACCCCTTTAGGGGGATTTCCAAAATAAAGAACGTAATGTTTGTGATCTCAAGAACACAGGGTTAATAACATCCGACTCAAAGTAATTGGCTTGATTTAATTAGCTTGTACTGATTTTTATTCGATTGTGTATAGCCTACCTGAACCTTTCTTGTCTTCGGACGACATTGTGTATTAATATAGGACTTTTCTATCCCATCATTCCAAATAATGCAACTGTAAATGTATGTAATGCTCTACTACATGGTAGATCCTTTGGGGGGTCGTCTGTAAATGACGTCACGCTATTTTAACAGATGTCCTCAAACCACTGCTGACGTCATATATGGACGACCACCTCCACCTCACTTCATTAGTCACCGTGCTCCTTCATTAGCACTATGGTGCCTTCATTCGTTTTAAAGAGCGCCTTACACTAGGGAAACGGAGGTTTACTTTAGTCGCTGAATGTAACAAACCAGGGGTGGCGTCCCGGCGGTTGTGTAACCGGTGGCTCCCAATAGCGTCCGCGACACCCTGATGGCTGATCTTGCGGCACCCTATCATGACTAAGTTAAAAGTTAAAACGAATACTAAGAAGACTTGTAGACCAAATAAATATATTATAATCTCCGTTGTTTTGTTTTTAGAAATAATTTTTTTAAAAGTGATTTTAAATACGTTCTTACTACTAAAGAGTTCGAATTCCTAGATAAACGCCGATTGACTGTTGGTTAATCCAGTGGCGTCACAAGGTCGGGTGTCACCCGGTGCGGTAATTGAGAATGTCACCCCAACCCATCCAACAATTTTAGCATTTTCCGTTTCGTATCACCCCACTCACCTACTATTCTCTTATTTCAACTGGATAAAACTGTTTTTCGACAGTAAATTTTTACAATTTTTCGTCGTGGTGTCACTCCTTAAATGGTGTCACCTAATGCGTACCACACCCCGCCCCGCCTTTGTGGCGTTACTGGGTTTATTTATTTACATCAAATGTCACCATATCCTCTCGAAGCTGAGTCAAGTAACCAGCACAGTAGATTTCAAGACGCCATAACTTTCTGTATGGTGTATCAAAAGAAATTATTTTACTTTTATGGTACTGTTTATGTTGTCTCACAATTTCGACTTCAATTTTAAGCATGTTTAAGGGGTCACCCATTTACGACATCCGCACGGAAAGGGGGGGGGGGGCGACTTTTAGCTCTCATAGGCCTGTGACAACAACAAAAAAATTAATCTGAAATGTTTATGTGCTTGCGTCATAAATGGATGAGCCCTTAAATAAAATAAAACATACCTACAAAATGTAGGCTAAACAAAACGAACAATGAACTCTGTCTGTTGTATCTCTGAACTTATCCATTCCGACTTTTGCATTGCTTGTTTTATTTATTACCTATAGCTGGCTTAAATAAAAGCCAAAAATTGTGTTCAGTAAAAGTAAACAGATCTTGCTGTTTCAACGAAATCATGACTTAGTAAGCTTAGTTTTAATTAATCCTATTATTAAATTGTACGTGTATCCATACCAGGGACAAGCAACATGCGGCTCCGTGGCTTTTGAAACGAATAACTGCGACTCTTTCTATTGGTTATATCAACTAAGAAAATGCAGCTAACATTTATTTTGACACCGTGTCTTAAAATACTTAAATAATAAACATAAAGCGCCAGGACCAGAGTATAATGTTCAGTGAGGCTCAAAACCTACATTTTCTAGATAAAAAAATAGAAAAATGGCTTCTAACCAAAACAAAAGTTTCCTACACCTGATCTAGTGTATGATTATTCTCAATTTTTATTTTAAACCAAGGGAGGCTATTCGTTTCTTTTTTTTTCTACTCCGATATCAGACGCTCCTTTCCCGTCAATGTATTTGATACTTCAGTATCAATATCAAATCAATAAACACACTCTTTTAGGTAGCCATCATGTATCTTTACAATCTGGAGCAAAAATATTTTTAGATAGCTGTTACTGAGAGTTCCTAGGTGTAGGCTATAATTTATGTTCACATAGGATTATCTGCAATTTCAATATTTTAACAGTAAAAAGATACAAATAGATTGTGCTTTAGAGAAATGTATAAATTTCGAAACAAGATGTCTTTTGTAAGTACACTTTATTAATATATTTTCTATAAAAAATCGATATGAGCACAGTTCATTTCTTTTGATTGCTAAAGGGTTTGGTAATGATCAATAAATTTCAGTCAAAGGGGAGGTAATTGCATACATGAAAGCCACAAAGCGCAACTGCTAGATTAGAAAAACAACATTTTTAAATTGTTAAAAATGCATAGGCCATAAAGATAAATGAAGATGATAAAATAAAATTTCAATTAGCAGCGGGAATAAATAATTAGGGGGTAAAAATAACGTATAGAGGAAACCTGCTTTGGAAGGAACTCTTTTTTTTTTAAATTACGTTTTTTTTTTGTAGTTTGCCGCGCGTTATTTTTAGATTCTACTTCTATCGTTCGTGTGCAACATTCAAGTTGGTCCAGTTGGCCTATTTGTCGTTTGTTTTGAAAAAAACGGATTTTTCTATCATGGTCTTTATTTATTACCTGTTGAAACGCCTATTATCCAAATTATAAACTGTACCATTGTGTTGCATAGCTTTGCCCCCTTGTTTTTAACCACTGTAATAATAGTACGCAAAATTTGATGGATCGTCTTTCACAGCTTGTAAGTTATAAGTTATCCCCCATGCTTCAACTTTTTATTAGTAGATCTATATTATATAATTTTGTAAGCTTTTATTTATTCACAATGTGGTTATCATGGTCCAAATTGCAATGGAAGTCTTAATTTTTAAGCATAGCATTCCCTTTGTTTATTAGACATTGGTAGGTAAATATATAATCTCACATTTTATCTAGATCTAGTGTTTAAAATATACACTATATAAAATATGTTAAATATGTATGTATTTATTTATTTATATTTTTAATTAGAAACTTTCAACTATAAAATAAATTAAGTTTAACTGTTTAACTAATAAAACAAATAATTATGAAATGTTATGAATCCAGAAACAGATTTAATCTCATAAAACTAATCATTTATCATTTATTCACGTCATTTAATGAAATAAATTACATTCAATAGTAACTGCTAGTCTTTGCATTTCATTGCCTACCCAATTTAACTGCTAATTTTTAAAATAAAAATAAAAATCTTTGCATTTCTCTATCCTTCATGTAACATTCAAAAGATTGAGGAGAAAATAAACATTGACACATTAGAGGAACTTAAAAAGGCATTTGCATCTGCTGATGTTAATAGAACTGGAAGTCTTGAGCTTGAGGAGTTTAAGAAACTACTTAAAGACCAACTTCACTTGGGACCAAGCAAGGTATTCTTCTTTGTGAAAAACAATTAATCATGGTACAGGTGGCTATTGCTTTGGTGTCTGTAGCCTACATATAGGCCCTAAACTTCCATTTCCCATTTAACATAATAAAATGAAAAAAGTCTTTAAATTTCCAATAGCAGTTTGTAAATTTATCTTATATTTTTATCCAGGATGCACAGATAGACTCTTTATTTATGAAAATAGACTGGTCTTCTGAAGGAACTATCACCTGGGATGAATTCTGCACCTACATGCAGCTTGAATATGCAGAGAAAGAAGATTCATATCTCCGAGCAAAAGAGGTGGCGTTCCTCCTGCCTGCTAAGGTGGAGAGCATCCCACACAGGGATCCAATTTTACGCATTACAGATACCTCTGATGGGACTTTCATAGCCTGTAGCCAAGAGGGCACTGTGACATTTTGGTCACATAATACAGAGCTTAAAAGAACAAGAAGTGTTGTGGTAAGAAACTAGACAGAACTACATAAGAAACTAGACAGATCCACAAACAAAACTAGACAGATCCACATTAAAAAAAAAGAAACTGCCATCAGGATTTTTAGAAATATAAAATTGGTCTGCAATTAATATGCATTTTCATCAAGTGCTTTCTGTTTACTGTGTTAAAAACATCAGAGTAAATCTATATCAATGATTTTGTTGTTTTATTTTCTTTAGAATCAAGAGATCATGAGTAACAGAACCAAATCAAAATGGATTACTGACTTCTGCTTGATGCCACACTTCAATAAATTGATTGTTGGAACTGGGTAAACATTAAAATCTTTTTGTTTAAGCAGTGAAATAAATATCTACAAAACATTAACTTAGTTTAACATTGCGTTTAACCATTGCATTATTTAACACTGAAATTGTGTGGAATATTTTCCTATTTTCTCTTTAACAGAGACAGAGAAATACAATTTTTTGAGTTGTCATCTTTTGATCCCTACTGCCAAATAATTGGTTTGGAAACTGTACCTCTAAAACTAGATTATAGGTTTGTATTATTTTTTTATACAAGTAATTTACTTATTATTTTTTACAATTTAAATGATATTTACTCATACCTCAAAATCTCTTCCAACTTTTTAACCACACTATCATAAATATTTGTTTTACTTTCTTCACAGTTCCACTGGGCATGATGAATGTATAATCCTGTTTGGTGACAACATGGGCTGTGTCAATATTTTTGTTATAAAATCAGCTGGGGAATGTCTAAGGTAGCTTGTTCAATGTTGCTTCATGTTTTATAGGTTATTCATTTGGATTAATGACAAAGTATCCAATGAAAAACTTCAGTGGTATTCATAGAAGAAATAAAAGTGAAAAAATTTTCTTACTGGTTTTAATATTTCCTTTATTAAAAATATTGTATCTATTATGTTAATGTAAAAATAGTTACTCTACTAATTACCAAAGCACCACATTTTAAGGCTTTAAAAGATGTTTTTATTAATGCTTAGTAAATCAGCCTTAAATTTGCAGGGTTTTTTAAATTTATAAGTATTGCCAATTATTTTTTTAAAATAGTTTATTGCTTAAAAACAATTTAGATTTTTTTTAACGTATTAAATTTGTTGAAACATGATATCAACACATTTTAGTCATAAAATTTGTTTTAAAATTATTCCAGGACATGGACAAAGATGACTAAACCAGATGGCTTTATTGCCACAATTTTATTGGATGCTGTTGTCAATGGTAACAATGTAAACTTCATTAGATGGCAAGTCCATGATGATTGGGTTGGGCAGGTCAGAATACTAATTATCAGAAACTAACTGAAAACTACATCAAACATTAAAGAATTTTAAAAATAAAAAATAAATTGAATAATTATTTATTCTATAGAAGCCTAGCGTATTTTAAATTATGACCCTAATATTTAAAATTTAAAAACAAAATTGTCTATGCTAAATATATTTAAAGTGAAAGATGTTTATTTTATGTAGACAATGCAAAAAGTTTATTTTATATTTTTTTTATCCAGCTAAAATATTATCATGAAATAGGACAAGTCATATCCTGCTGCAATAATTCAAACACAGCTCTGGTTATTGGTTAGTATTGTGAAAATATACATTGTTTGAAAAAAAATTGAGCCCAGTGTTCTAAAAAACCATCATTACTACAGTGATCTCTTTATCTCATGAAAATTAAGTCCATTTATGTTCAGCAGCAAATGTAGCCTACTTAATGTAAAATGCTGCAATCTTTTATAAAAGAAATAAAAACATGACCTTGCAGGTTCAACAATTGGCAGCACACATGTAGAGCAACAGCTAAAAGAGATAAAAGATTTGACCACAACACAGGAAAAAAGTAAACAAAAATACTCCTACAACATACCCAAAAGGAGACTTGATGCAGACGAGGCTGTCTTCAAGGTTTACAAAGGGGTGAAAGTGTTTGATTTCTCAAAAGAAAAGAATATCATTGTCACTGGAGGTAACAACTATTGAGTTGTCTAACCTGATTTTTTTTATTAATTATTGATTATTATTTGTTTTATTCATTAGTATAATTAAAAGTTGTCTTGCAGCAGTAATACAATTGAGTATCAATACAGCTTTGATTTTGATTATTTTACTAGTAATTTTCATGAGCTATTACTCTATATTATAATGACAATTTCCACAGTAGCTCTTTAAGTACACAGTGGGTTGATTTTAAATGTAACTTATTTATTTCTGTGAGAATTTAGGCAATGTTTAAATAAGTGGATGTTCTGTACCCCACCAGTTTCATATGTGCATTCATTGAATCCTCTTATTAATAGTTCTCTCATTTGTACTGACAAAATCTGATAGTGAATCATTTGAGTTGGGTGTCTGACCTCAAACGAACCTCTGAAACTGACTTAGCGAATCCCTGGGGTTCGAACAAACCCAGGTTAAGAACCACTGGTGTAAATAGTGGGTTTTTTTTTCTAAACAATTCACTCATTTTGCTAACATTATCAAAATTTGATTTCTTTAGGCATGGACAGAATTATAAGACTATGGAACCCATATGTGTGTCTGTAAGTCTCAACTTTCTTTTTTAATTAATTTAAATATTTCAAATATACTTGCTTTTTTTTTTTTAAGAGGAAACATATTACTCATATTTTATCCAAATTAAATAAAAATGAGTTTTATCAACAGGTAAACTGCTGCTGTTATTGATTGTTTAATCAAACAGTTTTTTTTTATTGTATCATTATCACTTATTTCTTTCATTTCTTTAGGAAACCTACTGCTATGTTAAGAGGTCATGCTGCTCCTATATTTTATTTGTTTATTGCTGAGGAAGATAACAGAATCTTCAGTATATCTACCGACAGATGCATTAAGGTCAGCTTTAGAATCGGCATAATGTTTTTTACTCTAGACATATATAGACATTTAATTATTTTTACATTATTTTTAAGTGGAATTATTAGTTGTGTGTTTGAGAGCTTTATATAACCTCCAATGTAAAGTGTAATGAAGCATAAATTAGTTAACTAAGACAACTTTTTGACGTCAGGTTTGGGATATACAAGACCACACATGCTTGCTGACCATTCGACCAAAGAGTCACAAAATTCGAGGTGATCTCCAAGCCATCCACTATTCCTGTGTGTCCAGATCTCTGGCAGTAGCCACAGACCAGATGGCCATACTAAACCTGAGACACAAGTAAATTAAAAGATATCCTTAACTCACTAGTTACTTTATGTACAAAAATAGTTACCCTTTTGACGATCCATTGGGCAGATAATGAAGATTTAATCTGTTTTTTGTGACCTTAGCATATGCAGGGATAGTGTGGTCAGTACCATACTCAGCCACTTTCACTAACTTGATCCAGGTACCCATTAGAGCTGGGTGAGCTCAGTGAAGTCCAATGGGCTCAAGTCCGGTATCCAAACACGAGATTTTTGGGTTAGCTGTGGTGTTCTTTATTATCCCACCCCACCATCCCATTTGTGGTTTAGCAGCAGTGTGCTCTGCCATCAGACCACACTGTTCCTACTAGTTCCTTTAAGTAAATCAAATGTGTCAACAAATTTTAAGTTTTCTCATACATTAGACACCAAACAGATAACTAACATGACTTATTCATTTAAAGACTTAAAACTGTATTTATCTGCTTGCAGATCAACACTGAATGCTGATATGATAGTAACTCATAAAGATCCGGTGACTTGCTGCAAATACAATCCAGAGTTTAAACAAATTGTGACCTGTTGCAGTGGCTCAGTGTGTTTTTTTTATCTTTTTGTTTTGTTTCACTCTCATACTATTATTCATATTTTTTAATGAATTATTAGGAAATCAATATGATTTTATGTAGAGGCATTTTTATTTTTTTTAATTATTAAAGAGACAAAAAAAAGATTTTTCACTATGGAAATATTATGTATTCCAAATAAAAACACAAAAGTAAAGTGACTGAATTATTTTTCTGACAGATAATCAAACTGTGGGATTTTGAAACCGGCTCACCTATCTTTGAGTATGGAGAAGCCCACGGAGAAGATGCTATCACTTGTATGACCTTTGACAATACCAGAAGAAGGTGTGAAATTTTTATTGTGTCAATCACTAATTACTTCTTATTACTTTGATTCCCATAATGCATGACAGTTGAATTTAAAAATTACTTTTCACCTGTTTTGTCAACTAGGCTTGTAACAGGAGGGAGAGATGGTATGCTCAGAATTTGGAATTATAATAACGGACATTGCCTTAGAGTGCTGAAAAAGAAACCTAAGAAAAATGCAGGTACAGAAATATTACTTTGTAATGTAATTCTACTTTTTTTTTTTAAAATGACCTTTAAATGTTATAATAATTTTTCTAAATTATGTAGTAGAACCGCTGCTAAGTTTTAGAAAATCTTAGATTTTTATCTAATTTTATCTATTATTATATTATTTATTAAATAATCAAAATTAAATTATAACTTTTGTCCATTTTTGTTTTGCTTTTTTCATTATCAGAATTTTTGTTCGGTTATTACAAGTCATTTTATGTGTATTACTTCCCTTGACTAAAAAAAAAAAACTTCTATTTATTTAATCTTCATTACATGTTGATAAACATGCACATTTCATAATATTTCTCTATTCATTTTTAAATACATTATCAATTTTAGCTATCTGTGTTTAAATCTTTTTTTTTTCAGAAATGCACAGTGATGAGATATGTGATGTAACTTATATTGAAATGAACAAAAACAGGTACCTCTTTTTAAATGCATACTATAAGAGTAAAAAAAACTAAAATTAAACAAAACCATGCTTAGACAAATGTACCTTTTTAAAATATTTATGTATGAGAATACATACAATAAAATAATATAAATACAATTAATTCCTTTAATTAATAATAATATATGCTTAAAATTGTCAAGTTATTTTCTAATGACTGACAACTAAAGCTTCTAAAGGACTACAATTATTCAGTACATTTCTTATTGTCAAGTTTGTATTTAAATATTCTTATCAGATATGTTATAGCTGTTGGCTGGGATAAAAGGGTCAACATTTACTATGATTCCTACAATGATAACAATATTCATCACACCCAGCACCCAACACCCTACTGGCATGATGACCTGGTGAGTATTGTCTTTAAATTCAGTCTCATACAACCAAAATAATAAAAAGTTTTCCTACCTTATGCTTATGGAGTGGCCTTGCCTAAGCTGTAGAACGCTAGGCTGCAAACCCAAAAGTCTCAAGTTTGAATTCAGGTCGAGATCAGTAGAACATACCTGAGCTCAGATGGGAACTTAACTCACGTTAAGGAAAGTAAAGGCGGCTGGGGGCAAAGTGCTTACCACACCTTTCTTTATATGCAGAGATCAAGAAACATGTGAACTTTACTTCATCTGCCCAATGGATCGCTAGGTCTAAAGAGGATTTTTTACTACCTTGTGCTTAGGTTGTTTTTCCTGTTCACATTTTAAAATTTTAACCCTTGCATCCCTGAATGCATACTCATTCATTTCCTATGAATGTGTACTCATTCATACCCCATGCCCAGTCATGTGAATTTCCATCACACAGGGTTACTATTTACAAACACAAAATAAAGTGATTTTGTTGACATGGCAAAGTAATCTTTAGGCAGGAGGGAACTGACATACATTAATATATGGGGCTGAGAATTTTGTGAGTCCAAAGTAGGTCACCCTTAAGGGTTAACTTGACAGAGTTACATGCCTTTGTGTATCCTGCTTGTTTCACCAGTAAATTTTTAAATCCCAAACTTTATACATTATAAAAATGCAGTTTAAGCAGTGCATATTAGGCAATTTAATTTTGTAAAACTATAAATATTTATGTTAAATTTTTAACATAATGTGAATTATTTAATTGACAGAGAATATAAATATGATTGTTATTAGGAAAATAGTATTATTCATGCAACAGAAATTATGAAAAAGGTGTATTAAACTGTTAAAACTCTACTACTACATCTAATGTTTTTCCATCCATGCACCAGAGAAATGGCCATAAGGAAGATATACTCTCAGTGGCTCAGTGTTTACCCAATCTCCTAGCAACAGGGAGCTATGATGGAGAGGTCATTGTCTGGAACATGGTGTCTGGCCATATATTTTGTCACCTGAATCCACCCCCACCACCTGGTTATCAGGACCAACACTGTACGTTGTTTACAGAGACTAAATTTACAACTTTTATGTATTCATTTCAATGAATAATATCATTTACAAATTTTATTTATTAATTTCATTGACTAAATTTACAAGTTTTATGTATTAAATATAAATAATACAGTAACTAAATTTACAAGTTTAATGTATAAACACTGACGAAAATTTTAAAACATTTATGTTTTAATTTTAATGACTATATTTACACATTTTATTTATTAAACACAATGACTAAGAATCAGCTTTTGAAAGATGTTATACATCTAATTGTTCTGACAACAAATGCAAAATCTAACATCACATGATAATTTAGCAGATACTATTTATTAAAAGATGTAATTTTTATCAGTATCTCCATATCTTAACCTAAGTTAACCTTTATAGACATGTTAATCTTTAAAGAAGAAAAGAGAATATGCTATTTCTTTGCCCATAGTTTAATGTAGCCCGTATAATTCAGAAATTGCTTCCAAAATACATTCATTACGTTTCTACAGTCAATAAATTTAAATAAAACAAAATTAGAAAATGTGCTATTTTCTGTGTATTTACCAACAACTAGTGACGATATTTGTTATTATAACTGCATGTTGTGGTTTTGTTGCAGTGGATGGAGACCTGAGTATATCAAAGCTGATGTTCCTTCAGACCAGAGCCTACAAGAAGGACGCTGGAGCGTTGGTGGTGAGTGGACCACGTGCTCATATTCATGTGTGGAATGTGTTTCAAGGAGGCACATTGATGGCACAGTTTGAAGGGGTAAGTCAGAACTATATCTCTAGAAAAACATAACAATCAGCTTTAGTTTATTTCAGCAGCTTTTAACAAACTGCAGATGCGAGCATGAGCTTTCAAGTAAAAAAATTTGATCTATAATAAATTTATATGATAATATATAGTAGGTTGATGATAGTCCTGTGTTAAATTTAAACTATGCCATTGTAGGTTGAAGTCCTAACAAATTATTTTTATTAAAAAAACAATGAACAAAAATATCAATTGCCTTTGAATCTTTCCAAATTAAATTTTTACAATCAGAACTTCCAATAAAATATTTAAATGCATTTCAATATGATACAATCAATGCCTAACTTTTTTTTTCATTAAAAAAATAAAAATCCAGAAACTGATAGCTCATATGCCTACCCTTAATTTTAGCAGTCTAATTTTTAAGTCTTTTGACATTTCTTGATATATAAAATGTTTTAAATAAAAAGTTTATAAAGTTTATTTATAATTTTTCTGTAGTCGCACATCAAGGGTGGGATGGTATCCCAGCTGTTGAGTAACAGCAACAACACATTACTCTACTCCAGTGATACCTTTGGTTTCATTTACGTGTGGAATTTCGCGGACTACTGCCTGACACGCCCAGCATCTGAACCACCTGAAAGTAGGCTAAAATCTTTATTGACACCTAAGCATTACTTAAATAAACATCCTAAATGTTATTTATTTTTTTTATTAACACTTGATTTAAAATAAGTGTTATACTTTAAATTAATATTTGCAAATTTCTTTTAAACTTGTTTACCTTCAACTTTTCATAATTTGCAGTTTTTCTATTACATTTTTGTCTTAGTTTTATTCAAATGGCGTGGTCATGTTGAAAGCGTTGCCTGTATGGACTTGGTAGAGTCTAGCAACATTCTCATCACAGCTTCCAGTGACTGCACTGTCAGGTTATGGACTACTGAAGGACATTATGTTGGTAATGCTGTTTCACTTGCAAGTCAAATCTACATAAACCTGATAGAGGTTGTAATTATATTTGTATAACTTTACAGGAAAATAAAAAATAATATTAATAACAAAAAGTATAAACTTCTAAAATTCAAAGGTAATAATGTAAAATTATAAACCTTTTAGCAAATGTAACTGTATCATAGATTTGTATTTCTGCACATAAACATCAATAAAAAATATATTAATATTAATAACAAAAAAATAAAAATATTTAAGTTACTATTCTACAATTGGTAGCCTTTACATCAGAAATTTAATGGAATTATTTTATCTGTAAATTTGAACAAATAACCATAGTAAAAATAATTGTATCAACAGTTTATAGACATTTAAATTTTAGTGTTTATCAAAGTAAATATTAAAAAACCGTCTTTCTAAACAATATTTTTAAAGGTACCCTTGGACAGCCAGAGCAGTGGGATCTTCATAACCCAGCCACATTCCAGCATCCAATGGTGCCATATGATGTGCTAGTGGATCCACTGAGCCTTCCTTCTCATCCAATTCTGCTAGAGAAGCAGTCAACCCACGACATCATCCACCAGGGGGAAGATGAAGACAAGGTATTTGTGGAACTTTGTTACATTTCAGTTTTATAGTATAGTGTACATACACGAGTCCACCCAGTTTTGTTACATTTTATAGTAGTTTACATAAGTAGTCTGAAGTTACATTTCAGTTTTATAGTTCAGTGTACATACATAATCGTACGTTACATTACAGTTTTATAGTTCAGTGTACATACGTAGTCTGAGGTTACATTACAGTTTTACAGTTCAGTGTACATACATAGTCTGAGGTTACATTTCAGGTTTACAGTACAGTGTACATACCTATTACAGTTTTATAGTTCAGTGTACATACCTATTACAGTTTTATAGTTCAGTGTACATACCTATTACAGTTTTATAGTTCAGTGTACATACATAGTCGAGGTTACATTACAGTTTTATAGTTCAGTGTACATACCTATTACAGTTTTATAGTTCAGTGTACATACATAATCGTACGTTACATTACATTTTATAGTTCAGTGTACATACGTAGTCTGAGGTTACATTACAGTTTTACAGTTCAGTGTACATACATAGTCTGAGGTTACATTTCAGGTTTACAGTACAGTGTACATACCTATTACAGTTTTATAGTTCAGTGTACATACGTAGTCTGAGGTTACATTACAGTTTTACAGTTCAGTGTACATACATAGTCTGAGGTTACATTTCAGGTTTACAGTACAGTGTACATACCTATTACAGTTTTATAGTTCAGTGTACATACGTAGTCTGAGGTTACATTACAGTTTTACAGTTCAGTGTACATACATAGTCTGAGGTTACATTTCAGGTTTACAGTACAGTGTACATACCTATTACAGTTTTATAGTTCAGTGTACATACGTAGTCTGAGGTTACATTACAGTTTTATAGTACAGTGTACATACATAGTCTGAGGTTTCATTTCAGTTTTATAGTACAGTGTACATACACGAGTACACCCAGTTTTGTTACATCTCATAGTAGTGTAGATAAGTAGTCTGAGGTTACATTTCAGTTTTATAGTATAGTATACATACACGAATCCACCCAGTTTAGTAACATTTCAGTTTAATAGTAGTGTACATTACATTTGTTACATTACAGTTTTTTTATAGTAGTGTACATACCTAGTCTGATGGCGAGTCTACCTAACCAATGTTAGGGAAATTAAAAGTGGCTGTGCATAGTGCTGACCATGCCATCCCTTCATAGGCTGTGGTGAAGAAATAGGTGAATTCTGCTTCTTCTGCCCTATGGACCATCAAGGTTAAAATGGGGAACTTCACTTACAACTAATTTTATAATTCTTTGTTATTAAATGAAATATGTAAGATATCAAGAAAATATAAATAGTGCAAATTTTTTAACATTTTTTAGCCTCAACCTAAACTAACACAGAAAATTGATTCTTTGTATCAGTTTACTACAGAAACAACCCAATCAAATGACAGCTCAGTCATTGATCTTAAGCTCTCTAGCATTTAATTTTCTTGGTTCTGGCATTTTTGGAAAGATTTGTTTCATTATTCCAACCTGTTCTGATTTTATATTTTCCAGAATACCAGAAGTATTTCGCCACAGGTGCCCTTTTCTACCAAACAGACTTACGTAGTGGATGATGATATGATCAAAGCTATGCTGCTTGATAGACCCTTTGACAGAGGGACAGGAAAGAGGTAATTTGACTCCTCAAATAAATATAGTTATTTGGTGCTAAATATATTCTCTGAAATATTGATGTTGTTGATTTATACTTTACGTTAGGTTATGTGTCATCCATTTATGATATCAACACAGAAGGGGGGGGGGGGGGGTTTCAGTTCATGATATTCACATGCTTAGTGTTTATAGAAAACACGCATTCTTTTATCCTGCATACAAATTGTGTAAATTACAGCTCACTGGGTACCAGAATCACAGTATACATGTTCATGAAATCCCGTACCACTTTGTAATAGCCATGAAGGAAACAAAAATTTAGTTATGAATTCAGTATAGTCTCATGCATCAGTTTTGGGTTAATTTGGATATAGGAATCAGTTTAAAAATCTAGCTTGATTCTTTTAAAAGCATATAGTGCTTATTTCTGTCAACATATTCTTTTAAGGTTTGATAACTGGATTTCTCTAGTGAATAAATAACTATATAAATTATAATTGCAATATATACATACACAATATGTTTTATCAAATCTGTAAAATAAAAGTACTCAGAGTTTCTTCCAAGCATCTCTTGTGGGGGGGGGGGGGGGGGGGTCTGGAAAAAACACTGGAAGTAAGACATCCACGCTAGAAGGGAGGGTAGATATTTTCTGATTCAAATTTCTTTGTTCATCACATAAACAATTAACCCCTCATGTTCTGTAATTAATAGACTAAAAAAAAAATAACCATATCTGTTAACTAATCTATTCTAAGGCTACGTCAAGAGAAGCAAAAAAGGGTTAAAGAAGATACTGGTGGACCACACGTCTGGCAGATGGTGAACTACTACAAACTAGCTGACGTGCCACACGTGAAGGCACCAACACTAACAGTCAACAAAGACAACCCGTTTGATTTTTATGATAAAGACATCGTCCCGTTAAATCTTGCATAGAATAATGAGAGACATCAGACAGCAATGTGCTTTAGATACTTGAAGTAAAAAAGAAGCTAAATATAGTGTAAAGTAACTTTGTGGGCTTTAACTCGGATTATTGTTTCTTTATAAAATAAATAATTGTAAAATGTATCCTTTTTTTTTTAAAAAAAAAACGTTTTGCTTGTAATGAATTCTCCCTAGTTTGTGTTTTGTTTACCATATTTTTAATCCTCATACACTTATCAAATGTCCTGAGTTGTATTTACATAAACTTTTATATTAAAACAAATGTTAAAAACAAAGTATATACAGGTAGTTACAAACACTGTTACAGTTAAAAATATTTTTGTAATTAAAAAAATCAAGTTGCTCAAGTTTACGTTACAATACATTACCATATGTTACACTACAGTACCATACTTTATACCACAGTACCATACGTGTATAAGATAACATTAATGTTACACTTAAATGTTTATCTTTACCCTGTATTTGAATGTGAAATTAAGATAAGCCCAGACACATGTATGGCTATGATAATACATTTTACGTTACACTTAATGTTTGCCTTTACTCTGTTATGTATGTAGGCTATGTATGTGAAATTAAGATAAGCACAAACACTTTGTGTAAACATATATGGCAATGATGATATATTTTACATTACACTTAATATTTGCTTTTACTCTGTTTATCATGTATGTATGTGAGATTTTTAAGAAGTATTACACTTTCTGTAAACATGGTTATGATAATCATTTTAAAAAACTATTTGCTTGATTTAGTAAATTGTGTGGATTTTACAATGGTTTGCCATCTGCTTAACCTGTTATACTTAACACACACATGAATATGTTTGCCTTTAAATCAAATCACCTAATATTAACTACCACTAGAGTCGTTATTTTTTTGTAATAATACTGCTGACAAAACGGATATATTTTTAAATGAGAGACAGTAGTTACTACACTCATCTGTATTATTTAATGTTTATTTCTTTGAGGTCTTTATTTGTTTTGTCATAATTGTCTGGAAACATTTAACTTTTTTATCATGACTTACAAGAAAAGCATTGTTATTCTTTGAGCTAGATTTTTGGCTAGATACTGATATTTATTTACCCAGCAGTGAGTTCTGTCTGCATGTTTTAAACTGTGATATTTGTTATATAACACTGCGACATTAAATGGTTTATTAACAACAGCTGTGTTACAAATTATGTGTTCCCATTTGCTCTGGAGGTAGTTCACTCTTGGTCTATTTATTTTTAGATCTTATCATACTAGATGTAGCCTTTTCTTTTTTTTAAAAGCCTTTTTTTCATGGGACTAAATGCTTTGCTGTAAAAAAAAAAAAAAAAAAAATTCACCTCAATATTAGGTTGGCTTTATTTTAGGGTTGTATGTTAGATAGGTAGATAGACAGACAGAGAGATAATAGATAGATCTATATAATGAATTTAATAACATAAAGTTGTCTATGAGGGCCTACAATATTTTGAAATGGTGAACATAGAGCAACGCAAGCACACCATAGCTGTGACTAACATATATCAATTTTGCTTTTTTTTTCATGTCATTGAATCTTCTTGTAACAAGTTACTGTCTTGTCACCATTTATTTTTAATTTGTTTTGATACTCTTGAAGTGTGTATCAGTGGCGTAGCTCACATAGCGAGGAAATTCAAGAAAACAATTCAACTGATGATTTTAACCATTTTAGTTCAACTTTTGTCATTGTCTTTTCATGTTTGTACCCAAGACACATTGGGCAGATGAAGTAGAGCTCATATGTTTCAATTACCTCGGCATATGAAGGGATAGTGTTGTCAACACTATGCCTTTGCTTCCCTGGCGTGAGTTATGTACCTATTAGAGCTGGGTTGACTCAGGGACAACCTGCAGTCACAAGCCCGAACCGAGATCCGAACTCGAGAACTTTAGGCTAGCAGTCAAACGATCAACTTATATAATTAGCCTTTAGCTCCCAGGACACATGAGCCTGATACAGAAAACTCTTTCCACTTTTGCCTCTAGCGCCCAGGACACATGAGGCTGATACAGAAAGCTCTTTTGCCGGTCTCTGGCAACTTCCTTGGCACTTCCTCAAGATAGTCCGGCTCTTGTTTTAGTGCTGGTCGCCTCCACGTCACCATCAGCCTTCCCCGTTTTCTTTTTCCCTTAGACGTCCAGTTGAATCGCCATTCCTGTGATATCATTTGGACGTATTCTTAAAACGTCCCGCTATTCTTTTTTTAAATTACTTCTAAAACTGTCTCCATTTCTCCTAATTGAAAAAAACAATTATGTTAAGCCGTTTAGTTTGGAAGAATCCAGTATTCAGATGGTAGCTATTGTTGCTTTCCTCCAGCATTTGATGCTAAGGAAAATGCTTTTAAAAAGTCTATATTTGGTCTTGGAGATTTTCTTAGAGAACGCCATGTTTTTTGCAAGGTTCAGGGGCTGGCTTGATTAGCCTATATAACTCCATTTAGCTGCCTCTTCCCTCTCGCTCCCCACCTCTGTCAAACTTTTGTTGATTTTAAAATATTTTTGTAATTTAAATTAATTTAACAGACTCAATTTTCATTTTCGTTCTTTAATAAAAGCAGTAAAAACAGATAAGTTACAAGAAGTACATAGTTCTAGCTTGTTTATCAAATTCGGCATACATTGAATAATTCACATTATATGGCTAATATTTATAATTCTAAGTGAAGCCATTGAGAAAGTCAAGTGGCTTACAAGTGCTCTCATAGAGTAGATTATAATTTAAATTATTGAGTTGTTCCTGTGACTAACCCATGATTAACACAACATTCGTAGAAATCTTTCGGTTAATAAACTTTTTACCAAGTTCCGCAAGTAATATAATTGTCCTTTATATTTGAGGTTAGTCCACTAGTATGTTGTCATTTACGGTCTAAAACAATGCTCATTGTTCAGGTTGACGGAGCAGGTTGGGGATTAGATCTAGAGTTTCTCTCATCCATGTTGCCGTTAGACCAGTTGGTTTCCTCCTGGTTACGGGCGTTAGGCGTAGTTCGGGTTTCAAACTCATGACTTAACGGCTTGGCAAGCGCCTGCCCTACCGTTAGACCACGCCACGTATTACACATACCTCAAAAACACAGCCCTTAACACATATCATTTAGCTTTTCGTCTAGAAATTGTTTTACGCCCCCCCCCCTCCCCCGAGAGATGCCTGCCGGCTCACACATTTATTTAGCTGATATTAACATGTCAAAGAAAAGTTTGCGCTGGTTAGGCAAGCCCATTTGTAGATCATCATCATCATCACCAATGCCCTTCAACCTTGCAAGGGTATGGGCCGCAAACCAAAGATCTCCAGAGTTCTCTGTCCTGTGCCATTTTCTCAACCTGTCTCTATGTGTTTCTTGGCAGACCTCTTCTGCGCTTTCCTTGTGTGTTCCCCCTAAATGCCTGCCTGGTGCTATTGCTTGGGGGTCTTCGCAAAGTGTCCCCTATCCAACCCCATTTTCTTTTCCTAGCATTTATAGAAAAGCCTTAAACACGTAAAAGCAATGTGTCCAGTCATTTCCCTGACTTAGTAGTTCTACCCGTCAAACAGTAGATTCGCTCTACAGCATAAAAGTGGTAAATCGTATAGAACTTACGTTGATTAGCAATTGCAGGGGCGGAACTACAGTGCCGCCAGACCCCGCAATGCGGGGAGCCCACGCCATTTAGGGGCCCAAAGCCGCCCATAATAATTATTTTTATAGATAAAAAAAAATAATTTTCTTGCAGTTTTGACTTGATGGTTTTTTTTAAAAAGAATACTGTAGCTGCGGTTGGTTTATCTTTATTCTATAGACACCATCCCACACTCTTGTATATTCTTTTTCCTTTGTTTTTAAACCCTAGTGAAAGCCGAGTCATCTTTCTTCTACAATCAAACTTATCAAAGATAAGCAAACAGTGTTTCTTCCAGACTTTTTTCTCCGGGGGGGCACTTGAAATCTTCGGGGGGGGGCGGTAAACTTTCTTCGGGGGGGGCGGACACTGTTAAAAGTATATTTTTTTCTATATAAATTATATAAATTTCATATCGTTCGAGGGGGGGGGGGCGGTAAAAAATTTTCGGGGGGGGGGGGGGGGGGGGCTTAGCCCCCCCCCCCCCCCCCCCCCCCCCCCCCCGGAAAAGATGCCGGGAAGAAATTCTGTAAGCAAACGTTGAAACCACTTCCATGACTTATTTCCCTTCTTTAAAAAATCAAACAGGGTTGCTCATAAGCTCCATTTAATAGATTTATACTAAACAAATTAAAAAGCAATTACCTCTTTTAATTATTATTTTTTTTAATAAAATACTTACTAAACTTACTAAAGAATGACATTGTATAAAAAGGTAATAATGTATTTAAAATTAATAATTTAAATACAAAAAAATAAATAAATAAATAAACATAATACGAGACACCATTACTTATTCAAAGCTTTCATATTTTATAATCTTTTGATTGAAAGTGGGTCAGATGTATTAAACTAGAATTAAGATAAAACTGATTTTCACAAAATACAATAAAGCACTTAGATCTACACACATATTTTGACATGATGTAAATTTGTTTTAATTGAAAAAAAACTTTTTTTTTTCACAACTAGAACAGGCCAGCAATGAGTATCATATGTTCGTATTTTGTGTTTATATATATATATATATATATTATATATATATTATATATATATATATATATATATATATATATATATATATATATATATATATATGTATATGTATATTTATATATATATATATATATATATATATATATATATATATATATATATATATATAATATATATATATATATATATATATATGGGGGCCCTAAAAAAAATTTGCGGGGTGGCCCTTTTTTTCTAGTTCCGCCACTGAGCAATTTAACTTGCTATTTCAAGGTTTAACGGTTTAAATGGCGATTAAAAATAAAGTATTTGAATTGTCTACATTTTTTTAAATACATGTTTTCAGTTATTCAAAAAGTGAGTAGTAATATGTTGTATCTGAAAGAAATGCTTAGCACCTATATCTGGATACAAAATATGTCATGTGTTTTGTTAGTCTTCTCTAGGATTACGTCCGATCGCACTGGACATGTCGTTCCAAAATATCAAACGGGCTTCAGCAGCAAGATGATCGTCTGCTGGGAACTCGGTGAAATGGTTTTTCTTCATGGCAGCCAAAAGATCACGTGTCATGTCGTCTGCCGAAACCGGCTGGTAAATACAAAGATGGAGGACGGAACGTTTGCTGAATATCTCTTCCATGACCGCCATTTTCAAGCTGTATTCCGCGTACTCGCCGTCGTAAAATTCAGGTGTGACCACAGGTACGGTTTTGGCGCTGTTCTGAACGGCACTTACAATGGCCGACACGGTGTAGGTACCCGGCATGAAGTCTCGTTCTTCAATGCATAGTCTGTGACCCCTCTTGACCTCCAGCTCATGAACGCAGTCCTGTTGCGCAAAATTTCTTGTTTCGTCTGTATAAATTATGTAAGCGTCGTATTTGTAGCGCGGATTTTTTGGCAACTTAGGCTCAAAACCAAATAATTTTACTATAGCGACAGTTCTTAAATATCTTAATCTCCATCGAAATCTGTACAAAGTTAACAACGAAACAATCAGAGCTATACACACCCCGCTGAACAAAGAAACGATTGGCGTCAACTCCTTAGAAGCGCAGTGCCTTTGTAAAGACTTCAGTCTTCGTTCAAGACTCCCAATTTTAATAACGTTATTCTCTTCATCAACACACGTTAAGAGATCCTTACTTAACAAGTAGACATTCGTGCTGGCTAACCAAAATATCATAGGTAGACCTGGGCAGGTGCAAGGCAGCGGGTTCATGGTTAAATCAACAAAAATTGTGTGTTGGACAGCTATGTTATCCAGGTCGTGGAGAGTGTTTTTTGTGATCGCGAAAATTGAGTTCCTGCTGAGATTAATAAACTTAAGATTCATTGTGCTAGCAAAGCTGACGTTCAAGACTTGGATATTGTTCTGTGAAAGAATGATAATCTCCACACTTTTTAAGCCGCGAAAAAACTCCCGAGGAATTTTATAAATGGAATTCTTCGACAGGTTGATGTGCTGAAGTTTACCTAAATTAGAAAATATTTCACCGTGTGAATCTGTAGCGAAAACATCGCCTAACACATTATTTCTTAATAATAGAATCTCCAGCTCGTTATTTTTACTAAAAAAATGTTTTGTCAAATTTCTGCAATAATTGTTAGCGAAATTTGCATATTTTACTTTCTTTGGTAGTTCTCCTGTACCCCAGTGTGATATGAAACTACTGTAAAAATCCAATTGATGTAAGTTTGATTTCTCATCGATCTTACAAAAGAGAATATAAAGCCCAAAATGGAGGTACTGTGGAGCCAGAAGAATTTGAAGCCTTTCCGGAATTGATATTTCCTTTTCGTCTCGGTCTTTTGAATTTGAGTCTACCATGCCATTTCGCGAGTAAGGATAATGACTTTGAGTAACAGGACAACCATGATTAGCGACATGCAAATCGTCATCCGGGTCAATGTCATGACCAGCTAGGCTTGTCTCTTCCTGGTAACCCGTAGCAAACTCAGTAGCTCTGGAAACCCAAGTCAACATTTTGAAGTATAGGTAAAAATGTAATTTGTTGCAGTACGAACACTTGCGGGTCGAGCTTATTGTTTTTTAAAATGAGGACTTCCAGTGTTTTTGGGAGAAGTACAGCAAACATATTCGTCATCATAACGATACTGTTATCCGACAAATCTAAATGTTTTAATCGCATGTGTTGCAAGTATTTGGCATGGGTTTCGTCAAGAATACGACACATGAAAGTTGAAGTTAATTTGGAAAGTTGTAACTCAATCATAGAGCTTTTTACTATACCTTGAAGATCTTCTAAAGCATCATACAAATCGTAATGAGGCATATTTAATATACTCAGACTCCTGAGACTTGTCAAAGCTAAAAACATTGTCATGTTCATACTTGTAGCACTGCAGCCTTTTATTTTAATTTTCTTTAGATATAAAAAGTTTTCAAAGAAATTATCACTGAAATGTGAAATATTACATTTCCCAACATTATAACCAATGAACAAAGTAGCTAAGCGGTTTAAAGATTTCATTGCAGCACTAAAGGGAGAATTTATCCCGTCGACGCTTAGAAGTACCAGATTTTTCAGCTGTTGTAGAACCATGTTTGGGTATTCATCTCCGTTTTGGGCATTGCCTTCGATAAAAATTGTATTCAAATTTTGCAGGCTAGAAAATACGCCCAGGGGGAAATGCTTCGACATGCACCCTAACCTTGGATTTTGACTTAAGTCAAGAACTTCAAGCGTTTTCATGTGGTTGAAGGTTGAGTTTTCTAAAAAAAGGAGTTGGTTTTTTTAAAAGTTTAACACTTTCAAACTGTCGAGACCATTCAACATAGATAGCGTGATAAATGCAATCTGGTTTCTAGATAAAGATAATGTACTCAAGTTCGAAAACATTTTAAAACTATTTTCCTCGACAATTGTAATATTATTATCACTAAAATCTAGAACGAGTAAAGAAGATTTCTCTGAAGTAACATTGTAAGAATTAATTCGGTATAGTTTTGAGTTTTTATTTATATATACCCATGTTATGTTTAAATAAGGCAAAATTTCTGGTGCATTGAATGCAGTAATATCTGATAATTTAACGAACAGTGTGTTTATGTTTCTCGGCAGGCTGTCTGGAATTGTGGACATGTTTAAATCACCGTTTGACTGACACGTCGCGCTTGTCAAAGAGAAACTGATACGGCAACACACACACGGTTCACAGAGGAAAATGTCTTTTATTTTATAAAACTCATTATAACCTTTCAAACTCCGGCTCTTGTAACTCTTGTAATCAGAATAACTATTCGTAAGATCAGTTTTGCTGGCGAATTTCCTAGGATTTTTCGAGAAAAGAGAATCGCCGTGTATAAGGTCAGACGCCTGCGCGTGTTCTTCCAAAAGGGTAGTGCAAGCTCCAGAAATCACAGAGGACATTAGCACGATGAAACACACTGTGGGCGTCTTTGAGAACCAGAACCACTTGCTTGTTATAGCAAATATGAAAGAGCCCAGAAAAATAGTTGCGGTGACTAGGTTTGAAAACATCATCTGTAAAAGTTTATGTATATAATTTTTTTTCTCTCTGATACAGCTTTTACATTTGCGATATGTTTACTATACATGTCTAAGGGAAAAAAATCACGAAAAGATAAAGCTAAATGAAATCATTTTTCCTCCGGAACATGTAAGCTATATTTAGTTGCTGCGAGTTTTCCCACCTAGACATTTAGAGTGCACATATCGTAAGTGTAATCGCGGTGTAACATTGCATAAACTAGTAAACAAATCCATCCACGCAGTGTTTCTTTCAAACTTTTTTTTCTCCGGGGTAACTTGCAATTTTCGGGGGGGGGGGGGGCGGACACAGGTAAAAGAGATGCAAATTAGGACGCTAAGTGTGGTAGTGATTTCCGCGTAATAACAAAATTATGTTGTAGAGGGAATGAGGTGTCCGACAAATTCAATTAATCAGCAGTTGTTTGATTTTGGAGTTGTCTCTCTTAGAAGAGTGGCTGTATCCAGCTAACACGAGCCTCATTTACTTGAGGGTGAGGGTTTGAACTCGAGTCTTTTCGGCTTATCAACTATGAGCTTTACCGACTCGACCACGCCGACACTTCCCGCAATATTTTAATGAAAATCAAATAATAAAAAAAAGCTGAAATGACAGGTATACTTAATTGTGCTGGAGGGGATCCCTTCTAACACTAACAACGAAGAAGAAGAAACATTGAAAAAATATGCCTACATCCAATAAATTAAATAAGTTTTATGCTCGTATTTAAATTTAAAATTAGTAGAAATCACAGTAAGTAAAACAAAGGCAACCCATTTGATCTATGTTTAACGTTTATATTTACCCTCTACGTTGTACCATCAATAATAATTCGCATTTGACTTCTCTATATTATAGGCTTTAAACAAGTATGACAGTACAATGATGTAAATGAATGAATAAAAATGTACCAAAAGCACTTGCCTTTTAGTAAGCTTATTTAGATGTGTATGCCAAGTGTCTTTATATGATAGATGCTGTATCGACCTGTTGCAGGTGAAAAACACCATAAAAAAAAACTTCAAGAGGTAGGCTATCTTCGTGTTTTTAATAAATAGATCTATGAGAAAATGCAATTACCATATCGAGGGCAAAATTTACTAGAACACGGAAGTACAAGATAATAGTGCTTGTGAGTTTATCCATATATGGTAGGCCTCAGAGGCGTAGCGAGGGCGGGACTGGGGTTGCGGACCGCACCGGGTGACACCATGGCAAAAAAATGGCAAAATGGACAGAAGAAAAATGCTTTTTTGCCAATTCTATTAATGATTAATTAAAGTTAAATAGTCTTTTAAGTACTAAATGGGGGTGACATCATGACATAAACGTGCTAACAATAGAGAAAACAATGCTACATCCAACTGTATTATTAACAGACTATAGATAAACATATGGAACGGAGTGGTCTAGCGGTAGAGAGCTGGACTGCTAAAATAACTCAGTGCTAACCCGTAAGTCTCGAGTTCGAATCAGGGTTCTAGTCAGAAGACCGTCCCTGAGTCCACCCAACTCTGATGGGTACCTATCTCACCGCTGAAGCTCTGGAAGGTCTACAGGCCCTGGCTGAACAAGCTGGTCTCATTGACAACATCATTGAGGAACAGGTAGGTCTATCTTCCAGTGTATAGTATCAAATTCCAGTGCGTTCTGTCTTGTTTAGATAGTAGGTGGGGATGGAGCGGTAGAGAGCTGGACTGCTAATTCTTAAGTCTCGAATTCAAATCCGGGTTCAAGTCAGTAGACCGTCCCTGAGTCCACCCAACTCTGATGGGCACCTAACTCATGTTAGGGAAAGTAAAGGCGGCTGGGCATAGTGCTGACCACACTATCTCTTCAAGTGAACTTCACTTGCCCCATAGACCGTCAGGTTTGAAAGGGAAACTTTACTTATAGATAAACATCGTTACTATTAAGTCTGCACTGATTAAAGCTTATAAACATATACACTCATACACACACAGACATTTGATTTTTTAGGTGGGGGGGGGGGGGAGGGGGTGACACTACAAAGTGCCGCACCGGGTGATACCCGACCTAGCGACGCCACTGGTAGGCCTACAGCCAAATTATAGTACGACTATATGGTCGCTCTTAAAATCTCTTAAACATTTTACATTTTAGCGACTAATGCTTTAACCCAGGGGTCTCCAAACTTTTCAGTCCGCATTAACTATTAATTTTCAGTTCGGGAGCCAGTTTCTTCCAGGCATGTCTTTGATTTTTCTGGGCAAAGTTCCTCAGCCATCAGCAACAAACGATTTTTCCTCGGACAAAAATATCTCCGCGGGCCGGATGAGAGGACCTCGCGGGCAGCATCCGGCCCACGGGCCGTAGTTTGGAGACCCTGCTTTAACCAATTAGAGAATTTTGTTTCGTTTTCAGTGCATTTAAAAGCTCTTTACTGGGTTTTTTTTTCTTGCTTTGTCAATATGTATGTTCCGTCTATTTCGCATCTCATACGGAAAAAAAAATAATGTCTGTTGAAAAAAAAGATCAGTTGTTTCCCCTTGCTAGTCTCTGTTAAAATGATAATACTATTAATACCTAGTATGTCTACAGTTTACCATTAGGACTGTACTAATTTTTTTAAAGACATCCCACCATAGTAAAAGACAACATATGACGAGGTAAAACAAGAAAAGGTAGGTAGGCTATATCAGAAAAAAACGTCCATTGGTGAATGGTGACAGCACACCAGTCCCTCTCTCCCCCCCCCCCCCCATCCCGTCTACGTATGTTCCCATACCCTATAATCAGAACCTTCCTCTTCTAAAATTACTAAACGCGTTTGAAAGCTGTAACCCCGTCCCAAAATAAAAACTATCACAATAAATAATATAAAAATAACAGGCATTTTCATATTTGCATTAGTCACATTTCTTAACCTCCACATTCACAAAAATCAGGCACACCTTGTTCCTTTTTATCTTTAAGTTCGTGACTGCTGTGCGAACTACACTGGGTCAGCAGGGCAATGGAAGTAGCTGCCACCAAAGTCCTTTGCTTTCAAAGAACTAAACTGATTAGTGATGGAGATAGTAAGACACTGGTTGAGCTTCAAAAGATGTCCCCTTATGGGGATATTGCATTAGAAAAGGGAGAATGTATGAATCATGATCCCAAAAGACTCGGGTCTAGCCCTAGCCTAACCACTCGCTGTTGCTAATTTTAACAGGGGGTCAAACGGAATGCTTGACTTTGTGAAAGCTGTAGGCTGTAGCTTGTCAAATAACATAATGAGTGGGATTAGGAGAGATGAACGTTTTTGTTGTGAGGTCAGAAAAGTATGAATTAGCCTAAGTGAAGCTTAGGAGGGCAAAGAGAACTTTACATAACAATAGCAGGGAGGGGGGTTTAGAAGTTGTAGAGGGACATCTTTATTAAGCTGGGGGTGCAGATAAGGGTGGGTTTTTTCTTCTTCATTTTCCATTGTTTTTTAGTTGGGGTAATGAATTAAAATATATTGCTCTCAAGCAAATTCACTATGGGTTTTTAATATATAAAAAATTTGGAAGTAATTACAGTAAAAAGCGATGCTTTTTCTTTTTTATTACTTTTCTTTTTTATATTATTTTTTTTATTTGGTCTGTAATTTTATCCCATGGTTTTTGTAAACATTTCCTTTGTATTTATTGTTTTTTATGTCCACCACTGACATAGTTGATTAAAATGTAACCATTGTATGATATTTAATATGAATTTATTGTTGAAATTGACTTTGCAATAGTTTTTTTCATTTATCTCAGTTGTTTTGTAAAAAGATCTGTCAGATACAATCATGGAGTGTTGAAATTTTGTATGTATTATACATATTTATATCTATTGGATAAAAGCATTTATACGAATGGTTTCAGAACGGTTATTAATGTATAGATCAGGGGTCGGCAACCTTTTGAGACGAAAGAGCCAAAAGTTACAATTTACAACATTACCCGGTTTTTAAAGAGCCACTAACATTTTAATGTCAATAGTATATTGGTTTAGTATATATATATATATATATATATATATATATATATATATATATATATATAATCCTAAACAAATATCATACTATATATATATATATATATATATATATATATATATATATATATATATATATATATATATATATATATAAAGCAATGTATGTGTGTGTGTGTGTGTCTTTTATGCATTACCACACCTCTAATCACATCGCCGTGAAACTTCGGGAAACTGTTGAGAATATTCCTGGGGAGGTTTCTGCGAAAAAAAAAATTTCAAATTCGCAGGGGTGGCGCCCCGGCAGGGCGTGATTTGTTTTTTCTCTAAATACGGTGTATAAAAATAAAAGTTACAATTTACAACATTACCCGGTTTTTAAAGAGCCACTAACATTTTAATGTCAATAGTATATTGGTTTATATATATATATATATATATATATATATATATATATATATATATATATATATATAATCCTAAACAAATATCATACTATATATATATATATATATATATATATATATAATCCTAAACAAATATCATACTATATATATATATATATATATATATATATATATATATATATATATATATATATATATATATATATATATATATATATATATATATATATATATATATAAAGCAATGTATGTGTGTGTGTGTGTCTGTGTGTGTGTCTTTTATGCATTACCACACCTCTTAGCACATCGCCGTGAAACTTCGGGAAGTTGTTGAGAATATTCCTGGGGAGGTTTCTGCGAAAAAATAATTTCAAATTCGCAAGGGTGGCTTCCCGGCAGGGCGCGATTTGTTTTTTCTCTATATACGGTATATAAAAATAAAAGTCTATTTTGATTTCACACTGTTCATCCGATAGGCATGAAACTTTTGGGAGTTCGATATAACCCTCTAGGGAAGGGTTATGTAAAAAAATAATTTTTAATTTCGCAAGGGCGGCGCCACAGGAGGGTGTGATTTTTCTCTAATACGTATATAAAAATAATAAAAGTGAATTGCGGTGACACCGTTCACGCGATCACCATGAAACTTTGGGAACATGTAGAGAATATTACTGGGGAGATTTCTGCGCTAAAATTATTTTTAAATTTGCAGGGGTGGCGCCCCGGCAGGGCGCGATTTGTTTTTTTCTCTTTAAGCGGTATATAAAATAAATAAAAGTGAATTGGGGTGACACCTTTCACACGATCGCCATGAAACTTTGGGGAGTTCCTTATAAAACTGTAGGAAAGGGTTCTGTAAAAATCATTTTTAATTTTGCAAGGGCGGCGCCACGGGAGGGTGCGATTTTTCTCTATATACGGTTTATAAAAATAAAAGTCTATTTCGGTTTCACACCGTTCATCCGTGTATCATGAAACTTTGGGGAGATGATTAGATCACTCAATAGTAGGAATCTGCAAAAAAAACAAATATTGTTTAATATTGCAAGGGCGGCGCCCTCCGGGGGGGGGGGGGCGATTTCTTTTCTCTATACACGGTATATAAAAAATAAAAATCGGATGCGGTTCATCAGATTGCCATGAAACTTTTAGGGAGTAGATGAGAATACTTCCGAGAATATTTCTGCGAAAAAGGAAACTAAAGTTTCTTATGGGCGGCGCCATATAGGGTACAACTTTCGTCAATACACGGTTGGGCGCCCAGAGTTTTAGAGCGACTATGTTGGCACTTGGCATCCGTTAATCGAGCGTCCTGCATAGCGAGTAAGGGGTACTACTATATTCAGCGGTAAAACTACAACAGGCTTCAAAAATTAACTTTGTAACGAGAGGAAATCCTTCTGTACAGTTTGGTCACCTTGCTTAAGGAGCCAGGGGTCGTACGCCGCGCCTATGCGGTAGTGTAATCGGGGGGTGGGGGCCCTGAGAGCGCCCCTCTACGTCTCTGACACAACGGCGGTCACCGAAGTGTTCTACCATATTATTTCGGTGAGCGATTAATGTACACTCAATGTATTCATGCGGTAGTGTAGGTGAACCCGTATCCCGATATTTATGATCCATTGTTTACATTTAAATAACTCACTTTTAGAAAAGACGGTCACGCGTCCAAGAACATATGATTGGTAACGCGTTGGTGAAATCCTAATACATTCGTCAAACTTTCTTCTATCTCCGCGGCAACGCGCGGGGGACGGGTACGCTAGTATATATATATATATATATATATATATATATATATATATATATATATATATATAGGGGCCTATATATATATATATATATATATATATATATATATAGGGGCCTATATATATATATATATATATATATATATATATATATATATATATATACATATACATATAATTTAAAAAATAAATAGCATTGAATATATGAGATAATCTCATTTGAATTTGTGTTGAGAGGATCTACTATGTAAGTCAGAGTACTTGCATTTCTTTTGAATTGCTAAAATCTCAAAGTGAAAACACCCTTCATTTTGTTTATATTAATGCTGAAGTGATTGAATAGTAGCATTGGTTTCATAACGATATTTGTTTCAGATTTTTTTTGTAATTAAGTAATTTACCGCTCACCATATATTCAACAAAAAAGTATTTTTTTTCTCGAAACAAACCACTTCTTCAAGCAAGACATAGTCCGGGTTTTCCTTTCAGTTTTTTAGCTGGTTTAGTTTCTTTGCGATATCCACTATGATGTTTAATGTTTCAATTCGGAATTGACAATGTAATAGGAAGTACATTGAGATATGGAGTAACTAAATATTTTAAAATAATAGTGAATGTTTAGGCCTATTGTTTATATCTATTGTTATATCGTTTATTACCGAGTGTTGCAGACTAATATTTTTATGAGTTTTGAAAATAAAAAATTATTAATATTTGTGCATGGAGCTGAAGAGCCGCAACTGGACACCAAAAGAGCCGCATGCGGCTCGCGAGCCGCAGGTTGCCGACCCCTGGTATAGATGAGTAGCTATCCCTGCTATCAAGCCTCATCTGCCCAGAGTTTGAACTCAGGGCTTTTTGGTTCAACAACCATGAGCTTAACCAACCCGACCTCCACAAAGAAATGCATTTTTTAAGATCTACTTTTTAATGTTTAGGAAATATAGCATAGTATTGTATATTTTAATTTGATAATTATAAAAGCCTATCAAACTCTTGCAATATAAATATATATCAAGCTATTACTGTTACTTTTATACAAGTGTGACAAATTTAGTGTTATTTTAAAGTTTGAAATTTTGCTTAGGTAGTATGTTATTTATATGAACACAGAGTGGAGAACACCTACTTTTACTCACACTGCGCCCACATCTCATTATTTCCCTTGAGTATGATTTATATTAATGAGTATCCAATAATAGATTTGAAAAATTCAGATATGAATATAAATAGCAAAATATGAATGTAATTAAGCAACAATAAAAGTTAACTCATAACAATTGAATGTTAACTTTAATTTATAATATATAGTAAAAAAACAAACAAAGCTCTATTGTATACAATGATATACTGTACTTTTAAATTGCTCTCATCAATAGCTTTCATGCCAATGTAATCATCTATTATTGTTCTCAAAGCAATCTATCTTTAACTTATTATCACAATCATAAACTTAGAATCTGTTAACAATTGTCAATTTTTATAACATCTGCTGGGCTCTCTGCTTCTTGCATACACATTATCAGTCAATAACAAAACAAGATCTAATGCTTCATGTACCAACAGCTATAAATGACAAACTCAGCTTTATACAGCACACTAATATAATTTGAACACCTAAGCATTAAGTGTACATTATTCTTCAATTGGATCTCCCCACATGTTAGTTCGCTTTCCTGAAAAAAAAGAGAAAGCCGAAATACTTTTGTTAAAAATAATCAGCACTTTATTTTTTTTAAGTAAATTCAAGACACTTTCTTAAGCATATAAATCAGTTGTTGGATTGTGCAAATGAATATTAAAATATCAAACATAGCTTAATGTTGTGGCTTTAAGTGCAAAGTATATCTCATCTGCTACAGTTCTTGTAAATCTAATAAGAAAATAACAATATAAAAAGCAATTACTTTTTGGGGGTGCTTGGTAAGGTGGTGGTTCCATCCTGATGTCTGTTTCTCTATTGTCTGGCTGAGCTCTATCACCAGAGTCAGGCCATGTTTTCTGTGAACCAGGTGGTGGTACCTGCTGCTTCTTATAATCTTCATGCTCTTGGCGGTTCCTTCGCCGCAGCTCATCATAAGTAATAGTGTTCTTCTCTTGTGGAGATACAGCTGGTTCCTTTACTAGAAAATAATACATTTGTAATCAGATTTGGCTTGTGTTTTTTAGTTGCTTAAAAAAGAACACCAAGCTTGCAATAATTTTGGTTACTATGTAATGTACAATTTAAGATTCTTAAGTATGTGGTTTTGCTATAGGCTACTAAATTGTTACATTTTTTAAAATTTCTAATATTTTTGGTGGCCCCTTCTATTCAAATATGATTGCTTATTTCTCTTTTTTTTTAACTCATTCCCTCCTGAGCCCCGACTTCCTGTTTACAAACCCATTCCTGAACAAAGGGAAGTAACTCCATATTTTATAACATATATGTTCTTAAAAAATTAATTTCACTATCTAAACACTATTTATTTTAAGTTTAAAAATTACCAAGGCACTCATAAATGGATTAGCTTTCAGAAAAATATAGCTTTACAGACACAACAACATGAAACAACAACATAAAATGAAGGAAAATCCAAAAAATGTTGTACTTTTAGCATTTAATGCATAAAAAAATTTATCTTAGGCTTTCATGGTATGCACTATAGCATTGTCCTGCATGCAAATACACCTGACATAAGTGGCAGCCTTTGGTTGTCTCTTTGGTCCTGCCACTGGGCATCTTTGCCCCTTCCATGGCACACTGATAACAACGGCGTTTTCTGCCTGGCATGGTAGAGAGCATGTGCTGGGGGCTGAAAGGCTTTGCAACGCCAGCAACACTAGGCATGTTTTGGGGCCTTGTTGCAGCTGTCGATTTCCCTGCCAGTAGTTGCTGCGCAAGCTTTGCCCTGAATTTTAGATGGCTCTGGCTCAGAGGGGATGTAGGGTTCATTTTTTTCATTAGCAGGTAGCCATTGACAATGGATATCTGGATAAGATACCAGAACAGATACCTCCACCATTTATGGCTTGGCCTGCCTACAGGGTAGTAGGACCTGTGTTGATCACCCAGGTCCACTCCAAACATGTACGAGTTGTAGGAGTCTACACTGCAGGGAATTTCCACGTCAATGGGGCCTTCTTTGGTTCTGCGCTGAACCTTGGCCATGGCTGGATTGGAGTTGGTAGAGATAAGATTGACCTGCCGCTTATCTGTCCACTGACAAGCCACAAGCATCCCCTTCTGTTGCATCCTGCACTCCCCTTTCTTCTGCTTCAATTTCTTGAAAGGCCAGCCTTTACGGTTTGGCCAGATGGTGGCACAACAGTAGGTGCCTCAAGCAAGCAGATCCTCTGCTAGCTTTGGCGATGAAAAAAAATTGTCAAAAAAAATTTCATGTTGCCTGTCTAGGAAGGGCTCTGTCATGGTCATGACTACATCATAACCTAGACCATTCGTGGAGCTCCTCTCACTCTTCCCAGTATAGACCTTGAAGTTGAGTATATATCCCGACTTCGCCTCCGCACAGCACCAAATTTTCAACCCCCAGGGAGTTGGCTTGTCCTTCATATACTGCTTGAAGCCGAGTCTTCCTCTAAAGCCAACCATGGCTTCATCAACACTAAGCTGACGCTGTGGCTTGTAAAGAGACACACAGATGTGCCTAATGTGGTCTAGGAAAGGCCTGACCTTGAAGAGAGGGTCATAGTTAGGATTGCCTTTAGCGGGTTGTTGCGAGCTGTCGTTGATGTGAAAAAATCGGTGTATGGCATCATATCTGTCACGACTCATCACATCAGCCACTGCAGGTACCCTCCACATAGGATCAGAAGACCAGTAAAGTCTTCCATCTGGAATCTGATGCAGGCCAAACATAATATTGATGTAAATATACTTAGTGATGTCATCAGCATTCACTGGAGTCCATTTGAATTGAGTCTTTTTAGCAGCAGACTGGTTTGCAAAGTACTGCTCTGCATACAAATTCGTTTGAATGACAAAGTTTTCAATGCATTCATCAGTTACAAACAATTTGAAGTAGTCTAATGGTAGACTGTCAGCGGGCATTTCATGCAGCATTCCTTCAAATTCAGTGAAGAAGCCCATTTTGTCAGTCACATCAGACAGCTGATCAGACCATTCAGTGTCAGACAGGTCAGCTTCATCAGGAATGTCGTCTAAGTCAGAATCAGACTCAGAGTCAACATTATTCATCTCAATATCAGAACCTTCTTCTTCTACATCACTTAATTGTTTATTTCCATCAATTATAGATTGAAGGAATTCAAAAGCCATCTTTAAAAATAAGTCAAAAACACAGCAAAAATCACAATAAAAATCACAAAAATATCTCGCACTCCTACTCTCTTGAAAACACGATTTGAAAATGAACCACGCAAGATAAAAACATCCGGTTTTTTTTATTGAAATATCGTGGAATCTCGCTACAACATGGTTCTCGGTATAAATCTCGGGCATGCGCGATTTCGTTATCAATTTGAAAAGAAAAGTAGGGGGGTGTGGCCAGACGCATTTAGACGCATCAGGCGGAACCCCCGGAGGACGCATTTAGTCGCATCCGGCGGGAATGAGTTAAATTTACATTTTCAAAATTAAAATCCAGAATTTGCAATATCAATTTTTCATCCAAAAATATCTTTATCATATATTCAGTGAAAAATGGTTGCCTAAATTTTACAATAGATTTACACAAATATGAAATAGGGAAATAAAAACAAAATCTTTTAACTCTCACCATCTCTATCGACACTGGGACGAAATCTGTCATCTAGACCATCCACAGGTTTATATTCTTCTAGCTTAGAATGCCTGTTACTTCTACCTGCACCCTCCTCCCATGTATCTACCCTGTAAGATTATTTTCAAAAAACATTTAATTTTATCCCGTGATAAACTTTTTGTAATTAGAAACCTTATTTGGAAATATGATTTTAATTAATCATTTAAATGATCATTATTAAAAATTATTATAATCATTACTGTTGTTCTGGGTCTGGCAAACCCTTTGACTTCCTGATAGCAGCTGCCAAGTTGGAGTTAGGCAATTTAGTTAGGATTTTCTGCTGACAAACAGGCAGGTACATCACTTTACCAATAAAATGGCCAACAAAACCAGCAACTGTAGAAAATATAAAACAACTAGTTAAAACCTACCAACAACAAAGGGGTAATGTTTACATTTATTTCAGAAAATGTATGATGTTTACACATATGAAAAGTATATTTAAAATCTTACTAATGACTTTAGGTATAGGTCCATATTTTGGATGTGCAGCCCATCTTCCTAAGAGTAAGAGATAAAAATAATTTGTCAATTTTGATGAGAGATTAATTTATATTTTTAAAAGTCAGTTGGTAAATTTAACCAACATTAGGCCTAAATAATTTTAATATGTTTTAATAGTAAAATCCACATACCACTTTTCACCATCATGAAGGCAGCAGACATAGCACCAACTGATGCAGGTAGAGCTTTAAAACAAATAGTTGTGTTAGTTTATACCACATTGCCCAAGGATTGTCATTTCCAATCAAAATAATGTAGAAGTTTTGAGAATTTATGTATGCAGTATGCAGTTAAAAAAAATGTATGTTTCTGTTAACTAATTACTAAGAGCCTAAATAAAATTCAAACATCTTTTTTGTCTTTTAAATAGTTACCTCTTTTGTAAAAGCTGTCTCTTTCACATTCTTTCATAATCATTCTTTCTTCATCTGTTAACATCTGAAAATTAAAATACCAGAATAATTAATTAACAAAATCATGGAGTTGAGACATAACCTAATTTTGATAAATCAAAATTCAAAACAATAGGCCGCCTAACCAACTAGATCTACTACTTGTCTTATAAGACTATTTTTTACTGTAAAAGTTATTAATTTAATAATTAAGTAAGTAGACTCTAGTAAATTATTGAATATAGCTTTTCATAGTAGATTTAGTAGTATAGCTGCCCAGTATTGCCCAGTAAGTGGCAGTAAGTATACAGTATAATACAGTATACATATAAAAAACTATATAGTATATAGCTGCATCCTACACATATAGAATCTTAATCTAAATATATTAATTATATTTAATAATATTTATGCCAAGCAGTTAGGCCCTAATTTTTTTTTTTTTAGTTAGTACATACTCACTGCCAAAACGTTTTGAGCTTCTTCGTGTCTTGAAGTCCCTTGTGTCTCAATGGGGTTATTTAAATTTTGTCTGTCAAGAGGAGGTAGTGGATCTGGCAAAGGCGGTCCAGAAGACATTGCTAATTTAATTTTTTATAAAGTTCAGATTAGACTGATTAGACTGTTTTGTCGTATATGATTACACCATTAGTTTTGTGACTATTCACTCAAGTAACAAACTCAGTCACTGAATATATTGAACTGTAAATATACACATCATTTACACTACACGGTGCAATTTACTCTCGCTAGCCTACACTTTTACACTACACACACAGAGTGACACTGGACTTAAAATTAGGTTATACTACGTGACTTTGTAGGTAGGGCCTGGTTATCGTTTACTTTTTCTTCAAGGCTACTGCTCCGTTTGATTGTTTAAGTAAACAGGCGCACATACACATAGGCCTAACTAGATTGTTGTTTAAGTATTTATTAGGCCAACAGATTTTTAGCTTTTACCAGTCTATTGAAGTTATAGATTTATCGACTAAAGTTTTAGTTTAGTAACAGAAATATATCCAGAAACGCATTACGTTTGTAGAAGGCAGATTCATATTTTACAAACTTTTACATTTTTTTTTATTTAACTTGCTTCTTCTGTAGATCTAGATCTAGAATCTATGTCTTTTGACTTTTGAATGTCGAGTTTAGTCCGTCATCGATCAAAACTGGCGAGCGAAATTTCAACCACTTCTAACTTACCGATTCGTTTCAAAATTGCAATCTGAGATCAAATTTGACCTAATTGAATGCGTAATTAACTTTAAAGAATTCATTAATTTTTCGTGTTCATTTAGTGCGCAGCTTTTTTTGTCGTGCAACTCTATTGTACTACAAATTTTAAAGTACTAAAAAATGAATACAAATGTTTTGATAACAAGCTTTTATGTAATAATACAACACAAAGGAAAAACACATTTCTTTAAATATATAATCATTATCTACTATTTAGATTACTAAAAATAAAAGAGTGTATCGCTTCTTGAATTCTAGGCATAATATATAGACCTACGCTCTTCTTTTTAGTAATTGTAAATATTTTTAAACAGAGTATGCTCTAAGGGGCCCATTAAGTTATGCCGTAGGCCTATGTTAAATGTTATAGACATCGACATATAGATCTAGTTATAATTAAGCTATAACTAATTTGTAAATGTAGGGTGGTTAAGAGTAAAACAAAATGCATGAATGGTAATTCGTTTCATCAAAATAAAATAATATAGACCTAGATCAATAGCACGTAGCACTGCCATTTTAAGCTTTAGTTAGATCGTGTGCGACATATGGCATGGTTTCGTTATATTTATAGATCTATTATTATTATGTATCTTCTTCTTCTTCTTCGTTCTTAATTATTAGTGTTGAAGGGGATCGAGATTTATCTGCCAGTGGGTTTGAACTCGAGACTTTGTTATTATGTATGAAAACGATTATATATATATATATATATATATATATATATATATATATATATATATATATATATATATATATATATATATATATATAAATAACCAGTGTTACAATGTAACAGATAGTAATAGTACTAGTAATACATATTATTAAAAGCCAGCTTCTCTTCCATTTACTACGCACGGCACATAAGCCATAAAAGTTTTAAAGCGCTAAAACTGTAAATTTGAGAATGATCTGAATTAAGATTAAAATAGAATAATTAGAATCTAGATTCTAGATCTAGATCTAAAAATCTATATAAAAATAAATTTCCCAAGTAGATCTAGACTAGTAAACCTTCACGATCGAGATTTCTTGATCTTTATCATAGAATCTATCTAGATCTAGATTCTAGGTCTAGTTAGTAAAATAGCTAGAATCTAGATCTACTAGATTTCTAGATCTAGATCTAGAAATCTAGTACTAGCAAGGCCCTACTCATGTCTTCCCTCGAACATAGAATGAGTCTTTTGCGCTCGTCACTTTTGTATTTAGATAAACATAAGGAATTCGAAAATATAAAAAAAGAAGCTGCTGAAAATAAAGTACGTATAGTTTCTAGATCTAAATTTAGTAGCTAATCTAGTATTATTTATTTGAATATTTCTATTTGATTTTTTGGTAATCTATCGTTTTAGGTAGAATCTAGATCTACGTAAGATCGCCCGCGACTAGATCTAGTAATGTGAAAAACAGTTGACTCCTTAAAATCCTTAAATTTTAATAATTATTTCGCATTTTGAGGAGGATTTATAATTAATGTTTTGAAAAATATAAAAATGTTTCATTTATTTTATATAGATCTAGAATAGATCTACTTGTTTTTATACATTTGAATTAAAACTTTTCAGTAATAAATGAAGACTAGCGATGTTTCTAACAGATGCAACCATGCTCATTTACTATAGCAGCCATGGGGTCGTCCATAAATGACGTCACATTCGTAGGGGGTCGGGGGGTCGGTAATTTTGTGATGGTGTGTGGGGAGGGGGGGGGGGGGGTTCAGATGGTGTGACGTCACACTTTTGCTTTATAGATACATGTTAGAAAACGAATTTTAGACATTATTTAGCGTTTTAGAGAACAGTTTTAATAAATTATAATAGAAATTGATTAAAATACTCTATTTTGACATATTTTAGACAAGATTTTGGAAAAATATCGATGTTTAAAAAAATTCAACTGCAATTTTGAGGGGGGTTGTAGGCTGAAGTGTGACTTCATTTTAGGGGGGGAGGTCTGGCTTTTTGTGACGACGTGTGACGCAGAGGAGGGGGGGGGGGAGGTAAAAATCGGCAAAAAAAGCGTGACGTCATTTATGGATGACCCCCTTCTTGTTTAAGTTTTTTTTCGTAAACTTATAGATAGCGCTTATAATGGCTTATATAGCACATCTTGCTTGCAATCACTGCTGTTTAAAGTTAATTTCTGGCCTATATTGATATATTTAGCCTTTGATTTAGGTTTATTATTCACTTATCTTTAATATTTGAGACAAATATATCGCAATATACTTCTATTAAAGCCTTAACAATGAGGTAACGTTTTCGTACATTACTAGCTGTGGGCGATTTTACGTACCTATTACCTAAAACGATAGATTACCGATTTCAGTAATATTCACAATTTGATGAGGTTATACTGGTTTTAATCATTTAAATAAATAATAATATCCATATAGATCTAGAATCTAGAACTAGTTTTTGTTTCTGAATTTATGTGCCCCACAATCATTATTAATTATTAATTAAATGTTGTTAGAGTTATTAATTAAAGAATTAATATTAGGGGGCCTATTATATTTTTAAAAAGTAATTTTTTTTATGAAATTAGCGTTCATCGGTTTATTTGACTGAATGACTAATTGGTTTGTAAGCCCATAGTTAGCTATGCTCCCCCCCCCCCCCTCATCACACATTATCACAAAAACATAAACCCCCACCCCTGAAGTGTGATGCCTTCTATGGCAGACCACTTAAGACAGAAAAACCTGCCATAGGAATACGTTGGTATAGCAAAGTGCTGCGCTTTATGGAACCCTGTAATCTGGTAGTAGGCTACAATGGGACTTGAGCTTATCTACTGGAAAAAAATTATTTCTAAAATTATTAATAGTTTTGATTCAGTGCAAAGGTTCTTAGCCCTTGTTATTGTTTTCCTTATCAACTTATCCTTATTATTATAACTGTTGTTATAAATGAAGTTGTAGTGCATTTATTTTACTTTTACTCTTAGGGGTGCTTTGTTTATACTTTCAACATAAACATAGATCTTGGATATATCTTTGACCAAGATGGTAAGATTTAAATACTCTTTTATATTAATTAATAAAGACTGAATTAAACTTTAATAGTAAAGTTTGTGAACTATCAGTCTATGCTCCTGCTAAAAATGTTTATACTAATGGAATTGGTTTATTATAACTAGCAGGCCAAAAAATACTTCATAACTTCAATAAAGGACTACATCTGCACTATTAATAAAGATCTTACTTGTGCATTTATTGTTTCAGTTTCTTTGGGACATAGTATACTTACATCACCACTTGACAGTTCTAGTTTATTTCAAGAAGTATGTTTTTTAAAATACATTTTAATATATTATTTCTTTTTAAAATTTTACACTTTTTGAAAACATTATTTGATTCAATGATACTTAACAAGAAACAGAAATTATAATTATCTTGTTATTTAAAAACATTTGATCGATTATGTAGCACAATTTATGTTTAAAAATACTTCTTCTGTTAAAGATTATTTATCACTACTGCCTGGGTCACCAACTACTTCCAGCTGAGACGACTTCTACACAGATCTGTGCTAGGCTAAAAATTACAAATTTTCCTTCTTGTGGGTGAGGTCATATTTTTAAACTTTATTAACCAGAAATTAAAACAATTCTAGTGAACTTACTTCATCTTCTCTGAATAGTTAAAAGGTAGATCTTATAGAAAGAAAATCTTTACTTAACTTTTAACATGCCATATGTATATTTTAATTATATAAATAAATTGATTATGTAGGCCATATACAACTGTATATATATATATATATATATATATATATATATATATATATATATATATATATATATATATATATATATAATGATACTATACAAATAATATCCACCATACATGTATATAAATTAAATGTTTAGATTTTTTAAAGTGTAACATTTAAAGATTAAATCATTTCATGATTTTAGGATGCAAGTCTTCAATATATCCGATTTAACCAAATATATTAATTACACTGGACTTATCAAGCTAGTTGGTGTAGTAGCTGGTATCTCTGGCAGTGCAAAATATACGTAAGTTTCAGTAGTTCAATTTTTATTAAATTAATTATAATCTGTGGACATGTCTCCAGTTTTATATATAGCTATATATCTAGCTCTGCTTGCTAACTAATGATTATGTGCTTCTCAATATTGTTTTTAAAAAAAATGAGATTTTATCCTATTTTTAAAGTTAATGTAGTTATTGATTGGTTTTCAGAAGTATACTATAATGTTTTTAATGAGACAAGCTTATTATATATTTAAATTTGAATTTCAATGGCAGACAGAGCACAAAGTACATTTGTGCTGTTACTACATGCCCTGGACATGCGGGGAATCACTTCATTCGTATGCACATATCAGGAGCTTCTGAAACTCAAACAATTCGGTAGTAACAGGTTTTTTAACGCAGTTGTAGATTTACAGATGATACAGTATTTAGTTTGTAAAAAGTATTATTTTTTGTGCGTAAATCAAATTTTGAAAAATATTTCTATTATAATTTTTTTATCTTAATTGTATAAAAACTAATACTTATTTGAGTACCACTTTCTTTTTTTATAATTTGATGAGATGTATATGATAATATTTTTGTAGCATTGATCTTTTGACTTAAAACTGAGAAGACAGCAGCTGCCATAGTTGAAAAGATATATGGAATGTATTATTCAAAATCAAATTGTATAAAATATTTTACATTTATCTATTTAAATCAGAAATGATTTTATTTGCAATTTCTGTGGAGAAATCTTGGAGGAAGTAAAATCATTGCGTAATTTATCTGGTAGGCAAGACTAGATTATCTTTCTATAGAACTAAAATTATGTGCCTATATTATTTATAACATTTTCTGGACTTTTCACAACTAAAAGAAAATGTTATTTGTATAGAATAAAAGCCAAGTTACTTTTCCCATTTTGAATAGTAATAGACTTAAAAATTGTACATATGATAGGTTTGTAATTTTATTCCTCAATATTGATTGATGTTTTTGTACTTCTTTAGTTAAAATTGTTGTAGAGGTCATCCCAGTTCATCAGAACGGACTAGGGAAAGAAGAAATAATTGAAAAAGGTAGAAAGCAAGCATTAACAGTCTATGTAAGAGGTAAATCTGTTATTTAGGTTTGTTCACCATTTATACCACAGGTCAGTTTGATATTAAACCAACAAAGTTCCCTCGTTATAGAATTGAAGCAGAATTATTAATCTTGTTTTTCAATAATTAAAAATACCTTTAAACTTAATTTCATATTAGTATTATTCAATTGAAGATAATAATTTTACTTGCATTTATTAGTTCAAATTAAGAAAGTAATATGATGCTTTAATTATAATTTGATACTTTTATTCGTATATATTAACTTAATCCTACTAAATTTACTTGAACTAAGATTTTGTTTTATAACCTAAAAGACTTTTGTCTATTAAATTCAGATGAATTGGTGGATGTCATAGAGCTTGGCAAACCCTATGAGTTTATAGGCACCATCAGAACTGACAGAGTTGGAGATGATACACTCATTACTGTTGAGGTTAAACTTGTTTAGACTGTCATCAATTTTCATGCATTAATTCACTATTAGATTATCACTGACCTCCTTTTAAATAAAAAAAGTCCAGAATAAAAAATATGCATGAAACATGTTCATAACTAAGGCATTATTTTATCATCAAGCATGCAGAATAGTTAATATTAATTGTCACTTTATATCATTTATATTAATGAGTTAAATTGTTTATATATATATATATATATATATATATATATATATATATATATATATATATATATATATATATATATATATATATATATATAATTTACAAATCATCTTTAGCCTAAATATAAAAAAAAATTAATAAAACAAGAATTTTTTTTTTCAGGCGAACAATATTTCTAAGGCAAGTTATTTATATTATAAGTCATCGTTATTCATACCAAGCCTTTGCATTTTAGCTAGCAGCACTAGCAAATTACAAAAGTTCTCTAATTCAGATATTTTACTGAAAACAAAACATCATTAATTTACTCATCCCGGCCGACTATTTAAATTGTACTCTTGAAAAATTAGCTTCAGGTACATACCGTGCACAGTGTAGGAACTATTCCTCCGTCCCTTCAAGAACTTTTTGAAGGTAAGTTACTTAAAATGTCTAAAAATATATAATAACCAAACAAGTGTTAATTTTTTTTAAAATCATTTCAAAAACCAAATAAACCATCGCAGGTTGTAAGAAATCACCTTGGAGTTGGCCTATCAATCTGGCTAACAGGTTTGGAGGTAAGAAATAAAAAAATTTATGATTAAAACAAAAACTGAACTTGTACATATATATTTTTTAAATTTATTAATTTATTTTTAAAATTATAATTTTTAGACAGATTGGTTTCTGGTGGATGCCTAATAAAGTTGCGTTTAGTTTTGTTAATAAGTCTTGTGCTCAATCCAGAGGTAATCGCAATTTATTATAATAATTGATATTCTAGCTTTGTTTGTGTAAATAATGGAAGTTTTTACATTTTAATCCATTTAAATAAGGAATAAGTAGTGAATTTTTGTTGTTGTGATTTTAAATTTGGATTTTTCTACAGACTCACTTGCTTCACATTTTAGGGATTGGAAAAGAAACTGGTGTATTTACATACTTGATAGAATATGCTCAAAAGTTTTCCAGGCGAAGTTTCCCTGCTGTCTGTACAACTTCATTAAGTGGAAAAGTGATTACTGATAAATTTACATGGGCTCCTTATTTTCTTGAAAGTAAGCCTAATAGTTTTTAACATTATTTGAATGAATAATTGTAGTATACTGCAATTTTCTGTTTAAAAAACGAACTACAATTGAACTGTAATAAAAAAAAATTTCTGTTGAAAAAAAAACTACACTTGAACTGTAATAAAAAATAATTTAAAATAAACAATGTGAATAGTGATAAAAATAATCAAACCACCCTATTCTGTTTTTAAAAAATGTGTCTAATTTGATCATACAAAACACAGCATGAGACCAATACAAATAGGCCAGGGGTCGGCAACCTTTTGAAGCGGAAGAGCCAAAAGTTACAATTTTCAACATTTCCCTGGTTTTAAAGAGCCACTAACACTTTTTTATTTCAAATATTTTATTTTTTTATTAAGATTATTAGTATTTGTTCAAGGAGCTGGAGAGCCGCATCTTGATATCAAAAGAGCCGCATGCGGCTCGCGAGCCGCAGGTTGCCGACCCCTGAAATAGGCCACTAATACTAAGTGTATTTAACAAAAGGTGTATAAGTATGATATGCAAAAACGAACAATTACGTATCAAAACTCCAAATTGAGTGCACGAAAATTAGTGAAAGTATTAAGACAAGATGTTATTAGTTTTAACATTCGTGTTAACAGATTCACAAACCATTACGTTGCCATGAATATTTAACATTAAAGGGAAGTAACTATAAGTGAATGACACAAAGGGAAGCAACTTTCCTTAACGTTATTAAAAACAAAAGATAGTAAATATTAATGTTAAAACTTTAAGTTTCAAAAAATAAAATGATCTCTTTTAAATTGTCCTAAATGTGTAACGATATAGAGCAAAAACCGTGATATTTTAATAAAATTTGAATAATATAACCGATAGTATAAAAATAATGAACACCGTAGCTTTTTATGACTTTCAATTAGAAAAGATGGATCGGTCCCCTAATCAAAGCATACTTACCTGGCACAGGAGGCACCTTGATCAGCAAGGAGGTCCTCCCAGGGCGAGGCCTGCACATTGCACTTCGTGTGGGTTGACCCCTGCGATCACCCCAAATGTGGGTGACTCGGGTGCGTAATTTTTTCGTAGGGGGGACTGCGTTCGCGCTATCCCCTGAAAATCATTATATCAACGGAAGGTGCCCGCTCTAGTGCTGTCCGTGTTACTGTCACAACTCTAGCTTTGCTTTATCAAATTATTTTTCTTTGTTAACAATAAAATGTTGCTGTCAAAGACGTTAAGTAAGGAGTATACGTTCTAGATGTTTTCTGAGGCAACCCGTGATTTTATTTTTAGTGTTGGCCTTTGTCAAATTTACAATTTCTCGTTATTTTTTTTGTTTTGACAGACTTAACGTGTTTTTTTTTAAATGGTAACTAATGGCTAGTATTTTTATTTGGTACTTTTCCTCAGGTGGCTCATTGCTTCTTTCAAATGGTGGTGTTTGTTCATTAGGAGATGTAAGCACATGGAAGAAAATAAAAAGAGAACAACTGCAGGCAGGTAAAGAATGATATAGGTGTTACTTATTATTTCTTTATGAATAATAATTGTATTCACTATATTAAAACTAATTTATTTTTCAAAAAAAAACAACAACAAAAAAAAAAAACAACTGTTGTATGTTTCAGTCCTGGTGGGAAATAAAATTTATCTGGATCTCCCATCAAAGCATACTGGTGGATTGGCGCAGCAGCTGACCTTTCCACTCCAGTGTCAAGTCTGGGGTGTATATGACCCAACAGGTTCAGGTGTCAAGGCCAGTCCTCAAAAGGATGTCTTCATGGGGAGTTGTAGTACTGGTGACCTACCAAAGGGTTTTCTAGAGTATGAAACTGTAGAGATCTAATCAATTTCATATTTCTTTATCAATAATTATAAAATTTAGTGTAGAAAAAAAAGACAATGACTTAGGCCTACCTAAAAAAAAATTATACTGTGAGATTAAAAAAAAAAATCTAAATTGCCAAAACATTTCAAGCACAGAAACAAAATCTGTTTAGCCTAAAAGAAAATGCTTAATAGGAAACTATTTAAAACCAATACATAATAAAGTTTATAATACTTTTCTTCCCCAGTGCTTTCAACTACATTTCTTTCCTGGACTCCTTTGATTCATCAACAGATGTTGAAATCTATCATGATATGACTACTCACACTCTCTCAACCTGGTGTAATGCTTATGAAGATTATTATAAAAGTAGCATGTTTGAGGATTTGGAAAAAGTAATCCAATTTTCATTATTTGATAGATACTATTTAGTTAAAACTAAAGATAACAAAGTTTTTAAGTTGTTTTGAATGTAGGAAACGTTTATACTACACACCCAAACTTTGATTATAAACCTTCACGTGTTAATTTATATTATAGCCCTATTTATATATTTAGTTTATGTTTCTAAGTTTAAATTATGTGTCGCTAACTCCACATAACTCAAAATTTTAGTAAGTCTAATTAAAACATTTCTTGCGTTAACGAATAAACCTATCACTAGTTCTTACAATCAATATTAGTAACCAAATTACTTATTTAATGGTTTACTTTGAAACAGTTCTTGTCCATTGCCAAAAAAGTGGAGACTAAAGTTAGTCCTGAAGCTGAGAGTTTGCTACAAAACTACTACACAGCTAGCAGAATGGCCCGGTGTTCAGGTTTTGGTGGCTCTGATGTTCCTTCTTCAGCTCTGCATTCATTGTAAGGAATTAATACAAGCTCTTAGCTTATCGTGGTAGATATTTTTAAATTATATATTTTCTACATATTATGTTGGGTATTGTATCAGTAGGTAGTCCAAACTGGCGAAAAAGTGCGTTTTAGGGTCAGTTTTTGCGGTTTTCAAAAATAAAATTTCACTACTTCTAGTTGTCCTATAAGAATAAAAATTATATGTCAATAAAGTTTAAGCCTTTATCTGTCGTAATCTGGTATTTTTATATCTGTAACACATGTTTGAATGTGTTTTATATTTGTTTGAAAAGTATCAGTTACGTCAACAAATTTCACCGTTTTGCGTGTACCGATCGACCCCACACTGTTTCATTTGGTTGCGGCTTCGCGACGAAGCATCGTAGAAGCATAATCTTAATGTCATTTTAAAGAGCGAATTCTAGTCTATCGTTTGATGTATAAATTGAAAAAATAACTTGCTTATTTCATTTTAAAAAATCAGTTTTTAAACTTTAAATGACGATATATACACGAAAACAAACTAATTCTGTTTCAATCTTTACACCGATGTAAAGTTCACTTTTATAACTACTTTGTGTTGTAAATTCAAGTCTTTCTGATTTACGGTCGCGAAGCCGTACCCTCAATAAGCATATAACCCTCGAGTCAACTTTCAGCCCCGAGTCAGTTGCTCGCCGAACGGTTTTAAAGGTTGACGACCGATGATGCTAAACGGATTTTACCCTTGCTAGAGCCTTCAAACAAGTTGTAAGTATCATTTTTAAAGTTTCATTTCCATTTTAATAAATGAATTTTAAGTTTGAATGTCAGTTTGGTTTAATTAGCACACGTTATTAATGTAAATTTGAACCCTACTAGTCCACGGTTTTAGCGCGTGAACTACGCTTGTACACATGGTGTGTTTAAACGTGAAGCTATTTAATTCAGGACATTCTAGGGACTTAAAATATGGATGCACTTAACTATTAGATGCTAGTGTTTACTAATTCTTTAAAATCTATCGAATGGGATTAATGATAGGGTCGTATTACTACGGTTTATCTGGACTATCGCGTCAAAATTATGAATCGACAAATTCAAAATGGCCACCAGACATTCTTGGTTACTATGTGGACGAACTCAATTATTTACAGGGAACGAAGGTTAAATACTTATAAAATATTATTGAAACACAAAAGAAACTTATGATTGTAATAACTATACATTTTTATCAATTTATTTAAAACAAAATACACTAAATTGTAAGGACTAATGTGATTAATTTTTAATTTTCTGTTGTGCACTTTGATTCTGATTCCCCTGCTGAATAATGTGAAATGGTCTGCGCCAGTCTCCTTAATAAAATGTACCAGATCAATTTTTAGATGGTGGTGCAATTTAATAAGATTGTACATGTTGTGACTTAGTTTTAAATGTTATATTAGTTGTAAGTGTAAGTAGTACTAGTAGTATTTCTCATTATTTATTTATTTTATATGCATATAGTAACACTGAAGGACAGTTAAGTTGTCCTATATGATGTTGAGAACCACAGTATGGCATCTTCATCATTGGATATCTCAACCATTGTGGCACAAACAACGAATATTTCATTCAATAGAATTAATGTTCAAAATATACTATCAAGTATAAATTTCTTTAAACAAAAAGGTGTTTTCAGGCTTTTTCATCTTTCCAGCTACAGTCACATGATAAATAGTAGGCCTACACAATAGGCTAGTAGTAAATCTAATTATATTTTATTAATCACTAAATCAATTATTTATTCCATAGCTGGAGACATTTATGGTGGCCTATCCAGAACTTTCCTTACAAGGGAAGGGAAGAAGGCCAAACCCCCCCCCCCCCAACTACAGTTCCCAAAACATATCACTTACTCTTGATGCTCCACAAGATCAAGGTTGGGGGAAACAAGACATACAAAGATGTGGAGTTGTCGTTTTAAAAACTGTTCCCCCAAAGCAGTTATCAACCCAATAGGTTTGAATGTAGCAGCAACTGCTGCATTACTTGTAGGCATCACGTCTTTATTAGATTACATTACATTACTCCACTAAATTTGGATTCTGTTTCTCCTGCTCTAGATAACTGTGGCATTTTTAAAAAATAATATTTTAACTCATGTGATTTTTGAAAATAATGAACACATTATTCCTGTTAATGTTACCAACAAAATAGTTTTAGAGTTATTCTATGTCCAAAGCAAAAAAAAAAAAAAAAAAAAAAAAAATTATGAAAATAAAAGTGACCAAAACGCATTTTTGTCATTTTCAATTATTTTTTTACCTTAGAAAGACTCATTTTAGATAACTGAAAAAAATTGGGCATATATATTACAAACTTTGCAGTAACTTTACCAATTTCTACACTTCTATGTTATTTAGTTTAGAAAATATGGGTTCTCAAAAATGGCACTTTTTAAAAATCAGTTTTTTACCAAATTTTGCTTTTTTAAAAATCGCAGAACTTTTTTATTTATTAAGATATTTTTATAAAATTTGTGGCATAGAGCTTACAATTAAAAGTTCTTTCATGACATACTCACTCCAGAAGTCTGCAATCAATAGTTAATTTCAGTTTGGACTACCTAGTATCAGTGTTACTGTTTTTTTTTTTAGTTGTTTTTTTTTTTTTGCACCGAAGACACACCTGACTTAAGATGCACATGTGGTCTTGAGAAAATTTAAAAAAAAAATGATAAGTTGGCTAAATTATTTTAAAAACACAAATTTAAGAAAAAACAAAACAACATACCACAATATCAACAAAGAAAACCCAACAGCACCCCCAAATACCATCATCACTCCGCACAAATGAGAAAAAATATTTTTGTAGTTGTCTGCATGACCTCATCATGTCAGAGTTTAAGCTCAGTTGCTGACCATCACTGGTGTCAAATTTTTTACTTTCTTCATATATGGCATAACTTTTTTGACTCTGACAAGATGATGCTCTCACTGTCTGGCTATGTACGACTAATGAGATTTTTGCACCCACTTTGGAGTTTTAAAAAGTGTGCCTTATGCCAAGTTATGCTGCAAAAACAATACAGTAGCAATCACTAGTATTAATTGCAGTGTTTGAAATTTGATAGAATTTCTTTAGCAACTGGATTTGCCAAACTCAAGCTGCAGGCAGTAGTCAGTGAATGTGATGCTTTGATGGCAGTTTATTTGTATGAGGAAAGTTTGACCATGAGATATGGTAAATGGTTTATTTTAAATTATTTAATTATTTGTTGTCACATTAAAAAAAAAACAGCATTTTCGTTAAGTAGGCCTATATATATATATATATATATATATATATATATATATATATATATATATATATATATATATATATATATATATATATATATATATATATATATATTTTTATATATATATTTATATATATATATATATATATATATATATGTATATTTATTAATAAAATAGGCCTATATAATCAATACACATTTTGTTGATTAAGTACACACTTTGATGATTATGAATACATATTTTTTCTTATAAATAGATGTCGAATTCTGTTTTTGTGTGTTAAAATATTCTCATAGGTTATTAAAACTAAGATGTTTATTAACAGGATTATCTGTGTTGAGTATTCATCCTCAAGTAAATGTACCGGTCAGCAGACTTAGTGAGCTCTTAGGCCAAGAGGTAATAAACATTTACTACCAATTTTAAGGCATTTTATTTTCTTTATTTCTAAAGATAACTCCATAAGCAAATAGCTACATATATATACATTGTTATTAAAAGATTAATAAACTAATTGACTTAATTTTATTCTTTCAGAATGATGTTTTAATGCAGCGCTTTCATGTACAGCTTTTAAAATTCTGCTCACACGCCATTGATAGTCGTTCAACCCAGAGAGAAGAATAATTTTTCAATGTTTTAACTTTGTTTCTATATCCATAAAATAACTTGTAACAATATGATTTGTAATACTTAAAAAATGTAAACTGTATAGATTTTTGTTTGCTTTATTGTAAAGGCAAAAAATGCTGCATTTCTTTTGCTAAGAAAGTTTTCAATATCATTCTATTTCGTTTGGTTTGGTTATACTAAGAAAGTTGTGAATATCATTCTACTATTTTGTAATGTTTGGTTAATGTGATAATTATTTATTTGGTGTTTGACACCGTACAGTTTTGTTAGTTACAGCTTGAGGATAGTATTTTAATTGTGTGAATAATAAATGATATTAAATGCTAGTAAGTGTGTGTATTTGAATTTGTATTTCAGTTTTAGGTATGTTGTTATTTTAAAAAAATTATATTTTAAAATAATTTTAAAATGTTAGTTATAAGGCCAAAAAAAACTAATGAAATACATTTTTGGGGTGATGATGGTCTTATATTTCAAATAGGCCTCTGTGTGACACAATGGAATATTAAGTATAAATAAACAAGATTCAATGGATAAAATGTGTAACCAGGTTAAAAAATAAATAGATCTATGTAGTTTACTAGACATACTAAAAGAAAATGAATGATAAAAGAATAGAAATAAAGTGAAGCTGATTTTGGCTATCTATAAAAAAAGTGGTACACGGAATGCATCTTTGTGGGCCTTTCTGTTCTTCTATTCTAATAAATTATAACACTTATTATATCCATTGGATAATCTAGAATTCACATTTTTCTGTAAATCAAAATGCTTGGGAATGTAAACAAACCAAGAATTACAAAATTAATAGCCCACAAATAAATAAGAGTCAAATGATTAAACAAAAATTTATTAAATCAGAAGTGTGGACAAAATAATTATTGTCTAGTCTATAACGTTTAACCTTATATTAGTAAAAATAAATCTTTATAACTATAACCATTGCTATTGAGTTTCTCTACATTTCAATGGCTATAGCTTGTCTCCCTTGGTAATCTTGTAGTCATGAGTGGGAAGTAGGCCTGTAGTCAAGATATTTTTTAAAAGTATTGGATGTCTTTTATTTACATGGGTATCATCCATAAATGGCTTCACGCATTTTTGCCGAGTTTTACCTCCTTTTCGTCACAAAAAGAAATGATGTCACGTCTACAGCCACCCCCCCCCCCCTTTTAATAAAGCTTTGGCGACATCAATGGAATTAGTTCATCAATAATAAGTGATGTCTCGATTTGTTTAGCCTATACCTAACTCCCTTATTTTTCCCTCATAGTCTTTTGAAACATCGATTTCTTTCTATAATGTTTGACGAACTGGATCAACATTAGATTTAGGCTACTCGTCAATTTGTATTATTGTTTACTTTTTTTTTCAAAAACAAAATGCTCTTTTGAATGCAAAGAGACTGCTAAAACTCAGGTTCAAAGACTAATTAATTACCCTTCCTCCCAGCCTTGTCACAAAATTTCGAGCCACCCGCTCCTTAGGAATGTAACGTTATATATGGACGACCTCGTAAAGCAGCTTTGTCGCCTTCAAAATCTTCTAAGCTATCAGTAATCGCTGCGATTCGATCCAGAACTATTTTAGAACGCGCCTCATTTGTCCAACTTGAATTCAGGGGGGTGGGGCACTTAAAATTTTCGGGGGGGGGGGGGGGCGGTAGACTTTCTTCGGGGGGGGGGGGGCGGACACTGTTAAAAGTATATATTTTCTATATAAATTATATAAATTTCATTTCGTTCGGGGGGGGGGGGGGCGGTAAAACATTTTCGGGGGGGGGGGGGGGCAAAGCCCCCCGAAGAGATGCCTGGAAGAAACGCTGCTAACCGGCCTTGTAGTTCCAGCTTCAACGTCCCGTCGCCAAGTAGACCTATTCCTTGGTCGACCTCTTTAAATTAAGCTCTTTTGCGCTTTACTTGCGGGTTCCATACCAATGTCTGCCTAGTGATACTGGCAGGAGGTCTGCGCAATGTGTGCTCAACTTGATCGTCTTTTCCTGATTTCTGCGACAGCAGAAAGGTCCTATAGTTTCCCATAGATGTGTGTTTCTGATGGTGTCGTGTTCCAGCGGATCTTGAGTATCTGAGGCAGCTGATGGACTTTATCAATGCAGTGGCGGAACTAGAAAAAACAGGCCCCCCCGCAGAATTTTTTTTTGGGCCCCTATATATATATATATATATATATATATATATATATATATATATATATATATATATATATATATATATATATATATATATGGAAAACATGGGTCGCTCTAAATTAAAAAAAAAGTTCCATCTGGTACACGAATAAATCAGAGGTTTTCCAACACACGAGCTGGCCCCTTTCAGTTTTCCAAGTGAGAAGCACAAACTCTCTAAATCTAGTCCAACACACCAAACTGAGGCTTTCATCAAAACGTTACCAACCGTGTGCCCTGTTTTCCAGAAGTTGAATTAAATGTTAACAATGTCGGCAGTTCATTTCTTGGATCTTAGGGCGCGGGTTTGTCCACACTACCAACTAGACACGCCAAGGCATGCTGTAAGTCCCTCGGCGACGGCCCAGGTTTCAGGGGAGTCACGGGGCTCTTGGAGCTACCGGTTACATTACTGCACGGGTGATGGGTGCAACACATTGTTTCTTCCGGCAGAGCTCCCCCCCCCCTCCCCTCCCCCGAAAACAGTCTACCCTGGAAGAAACATTGGTGCGACACCTAATTAGATTTAGTCATCGAGTGTTGTAGCGAGACTTATTCCTAGTGTTGTGGGAACTTTTAATCGACTGTCTGTGGGGGCCAACTTGATCATATGTGATGCGCTCAGGATGACACTGCCGCCGGTTGTATTCAAGTAGTACATCCGCTTATGCAGGATCTTCGGGCGTTAAATCACATATTTCCGTTAGGCGTCCGCACTCCAATATGTACAAATGTTAGGCCTATGACAGAAACCTTTGCGGGGCTGTACTCAACAGCTTCCCAAGTTTTCATGGCGATTGGGTGAATGATGCAGTAATGCATAATAGACAGAAAAATGTTTTTCACATGTACAACTGTATGTGGCCAGGTCACGCGTTGGATAACCTTCTGATTTAGGGGAGGGGGGCGCGGGGGAACTAACAAAAAGCCAGACCCTCACACACCTCCCACCTCAATGACGTCATTTATAAATAGTAATTGACTATTAATAATGTTCAATTAATTCTAAACGTTCTAATTAATTTCTAAATAATTATATAAATATATATAAAAAATAATCTTACCTGCCCTGTTTTGTGAATTAGATGTGCCTAATACTATGAAAGTAAATTAATAACTGTTGACTAGATCTAGTGCTGTCTAGTGTCTGACAAAATGTGCTGAAGTGGTGAATCGTACGGTTAGGAAGTAGTTCATAAACGATACATTTATCTCCTCGATACTTGTGAGGTTGAGAAAGAGGGATGGGATAGGGTTCGGCTCGGGAAAAAACTTGAAAGAGACAACAAAATGCCGCAAAGAAAAACCGCGCATCATGAAAGCCCACTTCATGTGTAGCGGCTTTTCGTGCTATGGACTTTGTTGTTTTTTAAAAAGAATTTTGCCGGCGACAGCGTGTGTTTGATTGTAGGGAAATAGAACTCGGCCTTGACGATGGTTAAAAAATACAACTATAAATAACTTTTAAATATGTAAAAAATGTGTCGACAATTTTTTAACCCCCTTTTTGGTCCCCATCCCCTGCCCCACCCGCCACAGTACACTTTGGAGGATCGGTCAAACAGTTACGTGTCCTCTATTTAACTATTAAAAGGGGGGGGGGGACGAGTCAAAGAAGTCATTCAAATTTGAAGAGTTACCTATATTTTACACTAGTTTGTGTGATGGATTTTATCTTTTGCGGAAGAGCGTTTATAGTGACTGTAAAATAAAGATAATCGTACCGCAGCTACAGTGTTTTTCTTTTACAAACCAAATATTAAGGCAAAAAATGCACGAAAATTAAATTCAAAATTTTTAAAAATATTAATTTTAATCAGCCGTGGGCCCCTAAACGGCTTGCCCCCCCCTGCCGCGCATTGCGGGGTCTGGCGGGACTGTAGTTCCGCCCCTGTTCATCAGGTAAATGAACAACTACTGGCTAGTGTCTTTAACAAAATGTGCAGAAGTGGTCAGTTTACAGTTCAGTAGTTCATAGACGGTTCGTTAATCTATGCATTACATCTTATTGTAAGAGTAAGGGTGTGGTGAGGGGTAGAGGGGAGGGGGAGGGGTGAGAGGGGGGGGGGGAGAGAGTTGGGAAGGTTCATTGGAAGGGGACAAGAAAGCGCCGATAAACATCTACATCAATAGTGCCGACTTTTTCCGGTCGTCTAGAAGACCAGGATAGTCGCCGCAACATTTCCCCAGCCCGATTTCAAAGCGTGCCGGCACAGTCAAATTTCAGATGTTTCGCTACAAGTTTATTGATACAGTTGTTAAAGAAAAAATGAACGCAATTATAAATGTATGAGATCGAAATAAATAATTATATTTTTGTAGAATTCAGGCCAGTAGTTTAAACACACAATCATAGATATGTATTTTAATAATGTAAACAATATAACAATGCTTTTTTGTTCTCCTAATCGACGCCACTAAAAAGAACGGTAGGCTACGTCTTTGAAGTTGTCTATATGTCTGGCGGTCTCTCGAGCTATAGTCTGTGCATTTTTCTCAAAGACGTTTGCCGACTATCGTGTTTGTTTGTAACTGTAGAAGAAAGATAACTCGACATCCACCTAATTTTTTTTTTAATTTTTTAATTTTTTTTAAAATAATTTAGCCAGGATTTTTGGGCCCCCAATAGGTCTGGGCCCCCCCGCATTGCGGGGTCTGGCGGCACTGTAGTTCCGCCCCTGTATCAATGGTGGTCTTTGTCATACTCAATCTCTACCTCACACAGCGGTACTGATTTTACACTGGAGTTAAAAACTTAAAAGGCGTACATTGGTTGTCAAGCAAAGCTCACTGCAGCACATATGCTAGTAGCTATGTGATTTCAGCTCTTGCTTTGTTGGACAAAGGCTATGGAAGCAAATCCAAAAAAGAAAAGCAGGCTGAAATCGGAGTCAATAGCATCAATGGCGTATAACCAGTTGACACGTATCCTTAATTGTGTTGGAGGGGGATCCCTTCAAACACTAAAATTAAGAACGAAGAAGAAGAAGATCCTCTTGCTTTGTCTATATTACCTTTGTCAATAATAACACTCTATGGAGCTGAGACATGGAGAATAACTGCTATAAATAAGAAGAAAATACAATCATTTATAAACAGTGTTTCTTCCAGACTTTTTTCTCCGGGGGGGGGGGCACTTGAAATTTTCGGGGGGGCGGTAAACTTTCTTCGGGGGGGGCGGACACTGTTAAAAGTATATATTTTCTATATAAATTATATAAATTTCATTTCGTTCGGGGGGGGGGGGGCTCCGCCCCCCCCCCCCCCCGAAGAGATGCCTGGAAGAAACTCTGTTTATAAACGCATGCCTCAGAAATGATGTTCTATGACAACGGACAAATCAACTGCCAGTTGAAGAAGAGATCCCCCAGAGAAAATGGAAATGGATTGGCCACACACTCAGGAAGCCTGTATCCAGCATAACAAGACAGGCCTTCAACTGGAATCTACAAGGCAGGAGGAGGAGACGCAGACCAAGAAAGACCTGGAGACGTGACCTGGAGGGAGACACCAAGAATTAGATCTATTTGTTCGTAAATAATAAATGGCTAAGAAAATTAACTGTACAGTGGGATACGGACGTGTAGCATCATCTAATTGGTTGTTGGCTACCCAATGAAAGTATTTGTTTCATCCACGTACTGACTTCCTGCGAAATATCAAAATGGCAGCTTACACTGTTTTGTCGGCGTTAATCATAAGCTGCCTATTTGCAAATGTTTTATCGGAGATTAAAAAGAAAGAAGTATGTTGTTTGTTAAAATGTTTCCCCTCGCTGTTTGATTTGTTTTCATTGATATAAATCAAACTTAAAAAGTAGTTAAGCATTAACAAATGTCAGATAATTTTACTTAGATAGTGGCAGTGCTCACCGCTATTTTCTGGGTACCCACGAAGAACGAATACTTCAATCAATACCAATATGACGTAGCGTAATACTACAGGCAACTGCATAACCTTGTTCGCACCTCAAATTGCTCGTATCTTTTAGCGATTTTTCCCTATTGAAATTAGATCTAATGATTAATAGTCAAAAGTTAGTGAAGTGATATCCCTGCCTGTGTGTTTTTTGTTTGTGTTATTACAATTACTTAAATTAGAGTTCCTAGGCCATTTGTGTTATTAAAATTACTTAAATTAGAGTGTTCCTAGGCCATTGTAGGCCTAGCTAGGTCCCTAGCCTAGAGTAGGCCGTTCGATTCTCAGCTTCCGAGTTTGTTGTTTTGAAGCCATCTCACGGGTCATGCGCTTACCAAAAATGGCGACCAGTTTTGCTTTCACTAATGGGTAGAGGGATAAAAATAAAGATTACGAAGCCATCGTTAATTTTAGAAATCGGAACTATCCGTTTCTATTTAAGTCTATTAATTAAGAATTGTCGGATCTACTTTTGGCCTAATTTCTTTTTTTGTCTCGCAAGCGGCGCCTTAGTGAAAGAAACTCTATATAATTCTCATCTTTCGAATCAAATAACTCTAAAATACCCCATGTATAATAAACCAAACTATGTGTATATGAAACTTGAAAGTATCAATTTTACACACATTACAATTCTGGTAATAACTTATGGTCGGAATGAGATGTGTTCCGTTCAATAATAATAATGCCATTTTATTATAATCTTTTTTTTGGTGAACAGGAGGCGCGGGAAAATGTGTGCCGCGCAAGAATCCAATCATTTGGCTAGGTTTATGACTGTTTTTTTTATGTCACACCTAAATAGAGTTTTTATGCTTTCTTCATTGATGATCGTTTTTTATTATTTTTAAACTGAAACTAATAATTATTAGTTAGATTTTAGGTTTTGTAGCTTGGTATACTTACCCTTTATCAATTTTAAAAGCATAGCATGCTGATTGTGAACAAATATAGTCATAAAACACAGAAATAAAAAGTTACAATGCAATGTCACACCCCCTCAAGAAAACACATGTTTATTAAGCTGTTTATCTCACTTTACAACAGTAATTAAAATTAATTTTCAAATTTTTATTACTTATTGGGTAATATTAAGCACATGTTTACTAATAGTTAAAAAAAACGTAAGTAAATTCTGTTTTAATGAAGGTCACAGGTCAAATATTTTTTTCCTTTAGTCAAGTTCAGTGAAGGGTGTCACACGCCGACCTGACTTTGGAATTTTTTTCATTAATAAGGACTTTGCACAGAAAGTTAATATATGATAAATTGGCTTAGTTTATTAGTGTGCTAGCTATTATTGATACTTTTTTAAATTAAAAAAATCATTTTGAAATTGTCAACAAAATGCCTACCTAGAGGCTTAGGCCTATTCATTTTATGTATGACAACAAAAATACAAAAAAAAACAACCATTAAAATGCTACAACAAGCTAGCTAAGTCAATTGGCTTGGTTTGACCTACTTGAAAATTTTTCTAGGTCATTGTTTGTAATTTATATTTTGGCCGATTCAATGAGAAGATGCGCTAAAATGGCCTGGTTTTTCTTGTCATCTAAATGTTTGTTTGTTGTTTAGGCCTATGTGTTGTCTTGATCGAACAGGGATTAATATAATAAATACTTTAACAGTAGATTTAAATAATAGGCTGTTATAATAGATTACAATTTTTTTAATAAGCCTTCTTGACTGTCTTAAAGTTTAGAACTTTTTACTAGATATATTATAACTATACAATGAACCATCAACCCCTCAATTTTATATCCACCCTCATTTTGGATGCGCTTGTAAAAATTGCAAGGATCTTCTATTCCTTCAAGTACTTGATGTTTAAAAATATGGATTTAATAAGTAGGCCAATCGGTTTTTTAAATTAAAAACAAATTAAACTAGATCTTTATCCTAATTTTATCTTATATAACCTATTTTATTGCATGTATATCATTTATAAGTTAACAAAACACCAAATTTACAACTCTTAACTGATTTAGCCTTATGTAGGGTCTGAAAAAAATTCAGTTTAAGGCTATTTTCTCTTGTGAGTCTTATCATTTCCAGTAGAGCCTGATATTGATATTCTAGCTTGTCTCACTAAATTTTAAATTACTATTTTTAAAAATTTAACTTACCCTTGCCAAAAATATCTATTACAAGTTAACAAAACATCAAGTCCCAAACTACATTATTGAAATTTTGGCCAGTGCTATAACTGGTACTGTTGTTTGTTTGCTACTTGACCATTTACTGCCCAGGGCATCAAAGCTATTTTACTCTTCGTACGGCTAGGCATACAGACAACACATTTTTCAACCGCAGCACTATTTAAAAAAAAAAAACAACCAAAACTACTGTTAAAAATTAATTTTAAATATAAATCATACACAAAACTGGTCCTAGTTTATTATGTTTGAGGTAAAATAGCATAATAACTAAAAATGACATTAATCCCAAAAAACTTGGGGGGAAAAACTCAGCTAATTGTAGTATTATTTCTATAGAAAATTTATTTTGAATGCTAAAAAAAGTTCAGTGTAATCACTGGAGCTATTTTCTTTTTCAATATCCCTATATTAATATTAAAACCCGATTCAACAACAGAGGCATTTTAATAAAATTTAATTTCTCTAATTATATTTCCTGTAATTTAAATAAAATAATTCTTAAGATAAATTGTAGAAAACAAACCACTAGTGAAAGAACAAGAAAACAATTTAAAATAAAACTTATTTCCTGTTTCTGCTGTTATCTTCAAAATCTCATTACCAACAAGACTTCCTTTACTACATGAAAATAAATGTACCACACAAAAAATTCTTGGGCGACCGTGGGTGCATAGAACATTTAAATGTTTCTTATATATCTATTTTATTTAAGATTTTATAACAAAACAATCGATAGACCTGAATGCAGTACTTAAATTGTTGTTGCTTTATTTTCAGGAATCCATATCAGAAAAAGTTCACCAGTTAATGGAATGGAACAACAAGAAATCAGTGATTCGAATGAATGGAGACAAGTTTCGCCAGTATGTCAAGTCTGCACCAAGGAACTATTCTATAGTCGTTATGTTGACAGCACTCCAACCTCAGAGGGGGTGTTCAGTTTGCAAGTATGTTTGCATATTTTAAAATAGATAAATTATAACAGCTTAAAATTTTTTTTTTATGTATGGATTGAGCTTTGCAGTAGACAACAAATGATGATTACAGTCGCTATACTATAAAAATGATTGCATTGTCTACTATTGTAACAGTTGGAATTTTAAAAAAAAATTATTATTATTAGTCTGTTAGCATTATACAAGAGATATTTATGTACACTTTAAATAAATCAAGGAAGAGCTGTAGAGTAAAGAGAATAAATCTGTAGCATCCTCATTACAAAATGTTTGACACCTTTCTAAATTTTTAAATTCTCTCTTAATGTAATGTTTATTCTTTAATCACCACAGGCAAGCTAATGATGAATTCCAGATTTTAGCCAACTCATGGAGATATTCTCAACAGTATTCCAATCGACTGTTTTTTGCATTGGTTGATTACGATGAAGGCCCTGACATATTCAAAAGCGTATGTATCCATGATTATCATTTTAATAAACTAATTTCAATTTAACATTATTTACCTCCTGAATGGAGCTTAAACAACTTTTTATAAAGGCTGTGTAGCCTCCTTGTTTTAAATAAATATGAGTGAGTGTTCCTTGTGAATTTCTGAGGTTCTCATGTGTGGACTGTTTTACTCTTCAGTGTAACAACTTAAAGTATCTTAAAATATTTCTTGTCCCATTGGCTTTAGATGAATTTGAACACTGCACCAGCTTTCATTCACTTCCCCCCAAAAGGAAAACCCAAGAAAGGTGACACCCTTGATATTCACAGGTAGGCTATTTATTTTGATTTCTTATTCTTTAAAATGTGTGCATCAGTATCAGTTTATACAAATGTATGAGCATTCAAATAGTGTAAATAAAAATAATTGCATTTAAAAAAATTCAGGGTTGGATTTGCTGCAGAAATGCTGGCTAAGTGGGTTGGAGAGAGAACTGACATTCAGGTAAGATGTTTATAATTCACTTTTTGAAACAAAAATATTTTCTTTTACTTGAGAAAAAACCATTGAAAAATATTAATATCTTAACAAATATTTTTCTTTAAATATTCAGTAATAATACTATAATAGCGGAATGTTAATTTTTTAGTAGTAGGGTTTCAACTCAAATAGCATTAACCATAGTTTTGATGTTTCTGTCCTATTTCCTAGCTATCAAATCTTAACATTCATGAGATATTTTTCAGATTCGCATTTTCCGTCCACCAAGTTATTCTGGGACAGTTGCATTAGCCTTGCTTTTTGCAATGATTGGCGGGTTACTATACTTCAAACGAAACAACCTTGAGTTCCTCTACAACAAAACTTCATGGGGAATTATTGCACTGGTAAAGCTGGTTTTAAAAATAGAAATCTGTAGGCCTATATTGTTTAACTTTATTAAGGAACATAAATTATGGGTCATGTTGTCTTGCTACAAACGCTTAAAAGCTTATGTCATCAGTATTTTATGAATATTTTTTTTCATTGTAATTTGTTTATGTTTAAATCTTTGACCATCCTTCAGGCTGTGATTTTTGCCATGACTTCAGGCCAAATGTGGAATCACATTAGAGGACCACCAGTGATGCACAGAAATCCAAACACTGGTCAAATGGTAAACATTAAACTAAAGTTTCTTTTTCCTTAATTGTTGAATTGAGTGGATTTAAAGTTTGTTATAGATCAAGAGGTTGTCCTTACCCAAGAAGAACAATTCTTGTTTAAAAAAAAATATTACTCAGTTTTATTTTTTTGTAAATATATCAAATCTCCCCCCTCTAAATTAGCCCTCTTTGAACAATGTTTTAAAATTATTTTTTTCTCAATGTTTACAAATTAAACACAATTTTTTGTTTACTTTTACCAGCATTACATCCACGGCAGCAGCCAAGGACAGTTCATCATGGAAACCTACATTGTCATGTTGCTGAGTATCCTTTCGACTGGTGCAGTTAACTTATTTTTGCTTAAGTAATATTTTTTCATAAGCCATGCTAAACAAATGTTCCAAACAAATTATCAAAATTAGTGTTAATAGTAAAAAAAATATAGGCTCTCAGATTAGAGCTTGCAATAGAAACTTCATGACCTGTAAAAAAAAAACAAAAAGAAAACTAGTTTAGTTTTTTCATATTCAAATATCCTTAACCAACACTAGACACTGCTGTTGTTGTTGGGTTCATTATGTTGAATGAAGCACAGACTATGAAAGGAGATCCGGGCAAAAAAAGAAGTAAATATAAAACTGATTTTCAGCTATATATCCCTTTATTTAATGAATAAAACTTTACACCTAGCAAAACCAAACTTAGAATGGAAATTAACACTTCTTCCTTTACAACTTATTACTCCTTAACTGACTCAATGCAACATTTCTCATTCATCTATTATATTCTCATTTCGTATTTTAACATAATATTTCTGTATTCCAAATCTTTGAATGCTATGTTACTGCTAGGTGTTTACTATTCCATTGCTTTTTATTACAATGCTGTTATTATGTTTTTGTTGTTTTTTTTTAATGGCCAAAGTAAACAAAGGCCTCCTTGCCTACTGTTGTTACCATTATTGAATAAATTGTTTAAAGGAGTAGTATTCTATTGTTTAAGAAACTGTGTAAGGCAGTTGCAATTTTATTTACAGCAACCTAGTTTTAAAACTTTAAAATATGTTTTTCTTTCAGTTTTGTCCTTAGTGGGGTTAGGATGTGTAACAATCTTCTTCAGTCTACTGCTGTCTGTGTTTAGATCCAAGTATCAGGGTTATCCTTATAGGTAACAATCATTTTTATGAACTTTAAACATTTCTGCTGGTAATGTTGTTAACATTCATTAACCAGTCTCAGCCTGGCTCACTAGTTCTACAGACTAATTTGTTGAAGACATTTCATCAACACCAAGCTTGATGTAAAAAACTTAAATTCTACCCAATTTTTTTATAACTTACCAAGGAAAACTGGGTATGAGGCATGTCTTTCCACTAGACATACTGCCTTGTACTTGGGTAATGCCTTGTTTACTTTAAATTCAATAACCTTTTTAAAAAATGAAAATTAACATGTCTGGACATGAAGCTATGAGAAAGGGAAGCTGTTTGGTTAAAGAGGCAAAGCAACATAAAATTTTTAAATTTACCTTTTACTACACAACACAGCTCGTGTTGAGAGTATTTATTATTATTATATAGCTTTTATTTCAAATTATTATAATTTTTAAGTAGATTTAGCTTACTGTTATTATTGTTAGACCCTAAATGTCATAGCATATTAACTGAATTTTTATTTATTTTACAGCTTCTTATTCAAGTAAAAAAAATCTGCTGGTCCTGCTGTCAAATAATTGTTTTTCATGTTGTCATGTCATTTGTTAACTGTATATTCAAGTTATCTTTGACACCTTTCTTTTCATTAGAAAGGTTGAAACGGTAATATGCTATTTGACCAAGCTTGTATAAAAAAGCTTTAAAATAGTGTTGATAATATTTGTAGTAAGTTGTTTTAAAACTTTAAGTTTATCAAAAAAGTTCAAATAAATCAGAGTATATTTCATTGATACATTACTTTTAAATTAGTATTCATTTAGAAATAAATGAATTTAAATAGTTTGTGATTTAGGCGCATTTACAATGTTACATATTTTTAAAAATGTTCACTAGAAACTAACATTTGTTTTTTAACTTTTGTTTTAAATAGGCATTTATTTAGAAACAAATAAATCAAAGAATTTTGTGGTTCAGTTGCATTTACAGAAAATGTTACATCTTTTTTAAAAATGTTACTCTAAAAACTACAATTTTTTTGTATAGATGCAATGACTGATTGTATATGTAATTCCTTTATTCAAATCTTTTTCTTTCATTTTATTGTGGTGGAGCTTTTTTTTGTGGGTAAAATATCTTCTTTCTGTTCTAGCTTTTTAACCTCTTTTAATTAAATAGTTGCTCCATGCTAAAACAAAAACAGATTCAATGCAGTTTATAAAGTTTTGAAAGGTACATATTTTACAGTGCACAACTAAAATGAAAATTATGGGCATTGATTTTGTCAAATAAAATTTAAGTAATCATTATCTAGGTTTCTATGCAGCATTTTAATATTTGGTATTTTTCTTAAATTTATCTCCTTCAATTATGCTTTGTTTTGTTATTTATTTTTAAAATTAAAATATAGATTTATATCAAAATAATTTTTCACTTTGATTTTTAAAAGCTGTTTTTTTGAGTGAAAGAAAAAAAAACTTAACTAAGTCAGAGATACAAATTTGAACAAGTTTATTTTTAAATGGTCACAGTCAACCCTACACAATCATACAGGAATCATCAGTGAGTTAAGTCATGTCCATACTATCTTCAGAGCTAGCATTTTGCCAAGGCAGTTCTTCCAATTCACTATCACTATCCTCTTCACTCTCTCCAGATCCAGTATGTTCCTTCTTTCTCTTTAACTTGGACAAAGCTAGCAGATATTGGCATGTATACTTGTTAAAATCAGATCTGGGGAAATAGGAGTGAAAACTTTTAGCCATCTTAAATAAAAACAATCAGCAAACAAAATAAACAAACAAAATGACTTAATCATACACAAACAGAATATAATTTAAAAAAAAGCATTGTTAATTCTGGTTTAGTCAAGAAAAGTGAAAATTTTCACTCACATTTTCCTGAGATCCTCATATTTCCTGCTCATATTCCTCTGAAGTGTCCTAAGTGATGCCATAATTTTTTGTGACCTTTGCTTCAACTTGGGACCATGTGTGACTAACAAGGGCAGGAGCCACAACAAATAAAACTCAATATGAGCAGAGGTTTCAATCATGTGACCAGCAAAGGATAGCAGCTTGTCAACATAGGTGTCTGATAAATTTTCAATAATAACAGAAGCTGTGGAGACATTTTAATCGTGGAATTATACATGGTTTAGCTCTACATTATGTTTTCTTTAGCAGATTCTAAAGATCAATATATCACTCATTTCCTTATGAAATGAAACCTAATCAAGCAAGCTGTTTTCTTTTATACCTGTAGCTAATTTAGCAGAATGTTCAATACAATCCTAAGGCTATTTGGGAATTAGATCATTTAAAAAAAAAAGCTATACAGTAGCTTAAAGTAGTTAAGAAGATAATTAAGTGCAAATAGAGGATAACCATTGTTTTTAAAAATATTAAGCATAAAAATACATGCAATAGCAGTACAAAGAAAAGTGATATAAAAATGTAATATCCCAAGTTTAGAAAAACAACCCCAGGTTGATTTTAAATTGCAGCACTTACATTTGATCATTACAGGTTACACCTGATACAGGAGATATTTAAATTCTTACCACTATCAATTGGAATAGATTCCAGCACTTCCATAATTAGATTCTGTTCATTCAGTCTGAAGCTCAACATAAGTGCAGCAGAGTAGTCTCCCTTGTTTAATGTGGCCCGGACATTTGCAGGGGTGATGTCCATTTCTAGTTCAAAAGGATCAAAGACCAGTCCCTGATCCAGAGAATAAACGAGCAGCCCCTCGGTTGAGCAGGCAACCCATGATCTACCTGAAGAATCATTTTTAAAACTATTACTTTTAATAGAATACACTGCAAAGTTTATTTAAGAACAGAGTGCACGGACAGCTTTAAAATGTAAGAGTAAAGAATATCCAACTCAGTAATGATGCAGCTGCATCTATGAACAAGCAGAACCATAGCCATAGCCCCTTTGTTAAAAAAATAAAACAACCCAGAATATACATTTTACTATTAAATTTAGGATATCAAATTTTTTCAACCAACTTTAATTGTGTTAATTTTTTTTGGTATTCATAAATTATTAAAATATTAAAGTTTGATATGTATGTATAACATACTGTTGGGATTTTTCATTAATAACAATAACTAAAAAAAAAACAACTAGACACCCCTAAACCTGAACCTAAAAATTGTAATGTTCAATATAATTATTTAAGTTAAAATATCTGACAACAGATTTAAATCCTTTTATCCTGTAAACCAAGAGGGCTGATAAGAAAGGGTAATAAAAAAAAAGATTACACATGGATCAATAGATAAGACTAGTCTTCAAATTGATGAAAATTTATCTCTAAACCTATTTAGAAAATATTGATCTTTTTCTGTTAGCAATTCAATAAAAATTCAGTTGATATATATATAAAACAGATTACAAATTAGAGGACAAAAAATAAATATTTATTTAAAATGCACAATCAGATATAGGTACTTTATTTTTAACCATGCATGTCTTAAGTCATGTATGTAAGTGTTCTTTACTTTCAATTTTAATTTAATTTTACAAGAAAAAAAATTGATTAGAAGTAAAAAAAAAAAAAACACAAAACAATGACAACTACATTCATTGAGGCATTAAAAGATGAATCTCTTTTATCTGCTCAACTATGTAGAAAAGCTTTTCACTGGCTTCTTAAATTTAAAAATTATCAGTTAGACCAGGGGTCTCCAAACTACGGCCCTCGGGCCGGATGCGGCCCGCGAGGTCCTCTCATCCGGCCCGCGGAGATCTTTTTGTCCACGGAAAAAACGTTAGTGGGTGATGGCTGAGGGACTTTGCCCACAAAAATCAAAGACATGCCTGGAACAAACTGGCCCCCGAACTGAAAATTGAAAGGTAATGCGGCCCTCGGGCTGAAAAGTTTGGAGACCCCTGAGTTAGACGATGGCCTTCAAAATCACAACAAACACCCCATTATCTGCTGTCCTTCAAGCACTATCTCTGTCTGTCATTGCAACAGTTCCAATGATGCTTGAAGCTGCTCTGTTATTGAACACTGTGTTTGACCAATGAAATATCTTGGTGCTTTATCGGTGTAGCATCAACATTTATTTAATGTGACTACATCTATATGGTGGATTGGTAATTCAAATTTGACTTCACAACTCACAATTGGGATTAAAGGGACACAAGTATGATAAAAAGTGATAATTTAGAGGGAGCAACAAGAAGGATTCAAACTAATCAGAAGACAAAAAACTTGAAAAAACAAATGATCTGCACACCTTAAGCTTAAAACATGGAGCAGAATGTTCAACTCCAATCCAACAACTCTGATATTGTAGTGCCGTTAAATGTGTCATTCAACTTCTATCTCGTTTTAATGTTCCTGTATTCACTTGGCGCTATTGGAAACATTCTATCCATCGTTGTGTTTAGCCGTAAAGCTTTTCGAGATTCACCAGCTTCTCTCAGTCATCAACTGCTGTGCGTGTTGGATACAGTGTACATGGGTATTGTTTCATGGGGCATAACTCTTATTCACCAGCAAATAATTCTGACAAAGCTGGTTTGTCTGCTCTTGCTCTATCTGATGCATGTTATCAACATCATCTGCAACTGGATGGTTGTTATAGTTACGGCTGAGCGTCTGACATGTGTTGTACAGCCCTTGAGAGTGCGTATTCTGTGCACCAAGAAGAGAATCCTTGTGTTATTCTTCTCTCTAATTGGTTTCACCATCATTATTTACAGTGGTCTTTTCTACATGGACACAAATTTGAACACCATGGGAAATAACTCCTCGTTAGTTTTTGTCTGCCTCTATCACTTTGATGATTCATATTTAGAGATCACAAGAACATGGTTAGAAATAATCTTCATGCATTTTCTCCCATGCATTCTACTTGTTCTAAGCAACTTTCTAATAATTTTCTACTTGAAGAAAAGTAAACTGATTCACTCTTGGAGTAAAACAAACACAAAAGTTGAAGGTAAGTTGAAGGACATTGACCCACCAGCTCTAGAAGGAGACCAGGCACAGCAACCTAGCACAGAGACAACTTGCAATATGATAATACAAACACAAGAATCAATCAAAGGAACAAGTGAGCAAAGGAGTGACCATGAAGTTATCAATAATAATGAATCAACATCAAAACTAACAATGAACCTTGTTTATAAAAATAATAGTAAAACAGAAGCTGTTGACAACCCTAATAATTACACAGAAAGCCACCAGATCACAGATATTACATTAAACGCAACAAACAGAGAGGATCTTTGCAATTCTGTAATTCAGTGCCACAAACAAATAAATGAAGAAAATTTTACTGGATTATTTATCTTATCAGACTTTGACACTCAGACACCTGGACAAATGCGTAAATCTTCTGTGGCTGAAACTGTAATCAGTACCCTCAGCTCTATCAATGATGACGAGATCCCATTCACAAACAGCCATGAATCACACTGGGACAATTTCCCACCAACAAATGAGAACCTGCACAAAACTTTCCGACACACCTGTGACAATTCTAAAACTAAACAGCAGAAGAATATTTCTAACAAACAGCGTCAGGAAAGAACAATGACCGTTATCTTGATTCTCATAAACTTCACATTTCTTGCAACTAAAGCACCATATTTCATCCATGGCATGACACTCAAAGGATTTTCAAATATTGAAAAGCCTATGAACTCGTCAGACACAGAAATCAAGTTTGGTTTTGTCATCTTAGCTTCTCTCTTTAATGCCGTCAGTTTTCTTCTCTACAGTATGGCAGGGTCCAGGTTTCGTGAGGAGTTCAAAAATTTGATCAAAGAACAGATTGCTAAGTTAAGACTTAAATTTATGTGAGCACAATAGTAAAAATCACTGCCCAGAACGACACCAGAATACCATGCTAAAAAATCACTATGAACAGTACATGGATCTGATATATATTTTATTTAACTGAATTTAATAATTGCTGGAATATTGATTATTTTTACTGTAAATACATCACTTAGCTGAAGACTAATTAGTAAAAAAAAAGATGATTGTAAGTTGAAATTTTTTTTATCATAGTGATGAAACCTCAATGCTGTAATATATGTACCATTGAAAAATAATGTTCACTTCTTTACAAATAAAATGACTTAGTTATGTAATCAGGGCTTTTTACTTATATAGTTAAGCTTCAAGTATTAACTCACAACCACAATAATACGTGTGTAGATACAAAATTATTCTCCAAAGTTAAAGGTGTACAACAGTAACATATCTTACCAGTGGGTGAAAAATGTAAGGAGTATATTTTAACTTCTGGCTTCCAAAACCTGGAGCTGTGATCACCTTTCTTGACACCAGGCAGGGCTATAGCTGTACCGTCCTCACCTTGACCAGTGTCCACCAGCGACAGACTTCCCCACTCTGTCATCTTTCTTTTATCCAGAAATTCCTCAAGAAATTAAAGAAAAAACTTAGAAATTTGCCATTTCACATATTAAAATTTCAAATGCTAAATTGTTGAAATCCAAAGAAGGTAAGTAAAAATTTGAAAAGTTACAAATAATTTAAATTATAAAAGGGTTTATTCCTAATGGTGGGACGGAGTGGTCTAACGGTAGAGAGCTGGACTGCTAACCCGTAAGTCTCGAGTTTGAATCCGGGTTCAAGTCAGTAGACCATCCCTGAGTCCACCCAACTCTGATGGTTACCTAACTCATATTAGGGAAAGTAAAGGCGGCTGGGCATAGTGATGACCACATTATCTCTACATATGCCGAGGTCACAGACACAAGTGAACTCTACTTCACTTGCTCCATAGACCGTCAGGTTTGAAAGGGAAACTTTAATTCCTAATGTAGGTAGCAAAAAAAAAAAACCACTTGCTATGTCACTAAGGGGTTAATAGTAAACAAACAAGACTGAGGTAAACAAGCATGAAATTCAATATCTAACTAGAGTTATTGCCAACTAAATAATGTTTTAAGTACCTCCATCCCATCTAAGGAATAGTTGCATGAAACCACAAACTTTTTCATCAACAACTTGTCAGCAACAGAATAGATGCAAACATTCTTAGACTGCCCTCCTGCCAGGATACACTCACCATCTGCGCTATAGCACAAGGATTCAAAAGCTCTGCAAGACATAAAAAAAAACACCTATGAAGAATCGTTCGTTAAGCAGTAAACACCAGATATTTTTTAATAAAGGTTAAAGTAAACTTAAAGCAAAAGTTTAAAAAAAAAAACATGATGAAACATACTTTCCCTCAGCTGCTGTTTTTCCTGAAAACTTTTCAGTTTCCTTACGGAAGTATCCCAAATCATGTCTACCCTCTATAGTTCCCTTCTGCTGGGTGGATACAGTGTCCCAGAATGTTATGTGGGCATTAAGTGTTGCCACTGCTAGTTCTTTTCCATCAGGACGAAAAGTCAAGGCCAGAACTGAAAAAAATATATTTTTAAGCTGAAGTGAGGTATTATACCAAATAAAAAAATGTATGGAACAATTACATTTAAAAAAAAATACATACCAAATAAAAAATGTATGGAACAATTACACTTAAAAAAAAAAACACCAACTCATGAATAAAAATGCATCACTTAACAGAATAGCGTCAATGATATATAACTAGGCAATACCATACTCACCATCAGAATTAAGATCTATTGTTTCTCTCCTTCCCCCATGCTCATAAATGTTCCACAATTTTACAGTTTTATCCCAAGAGCCACTGGCCAAGATTCCCTCAGACTGGCTAAAATCTAAGGCACTGATTGGACCCTCATGGCCTGCTAGAGTCTAACAAACCAATAGAAAAGTGGCTCATGTTATGTTTCATAATATTAAAATAATTTAACTGACAATTTAGAAATTATTTACTTTTTTTCACAGTTTCTAAGACATAGTTGAAAAGTTTTATTGTAATGCTTGTTAAATATATCTAAAAAACATTTTAAAGTTTCGTTAACAAAAGACAAAATGCCTGAAACAACAACTAAAAAAAACCCAAACCTGTAATAATCTTCCCGTTTTCATAGTCCAGATATAAATAATAAACTCATTGGTCCCACCAGCACACACAATTTCACCAGCGCCATCAACTGCCAGGCATGAAAACTGGTCTGGTTTGGGTGATGTAAATGTTTTATAGTTGCGATACCTATTCAAGAAATAATTGATATGATTCAATGAATAGTCAGACTGGATAGAAAATACATTGTTTTGCTTCCGCTAACAAGAACTCTAACGAAATCCAACAAACCTGGTTAAATCAAAAGCCCTCACTGTCCCATCCAGTGAACTTGACAGAACACTTTTGCCATTTTGAGTCACTTTAACACCAGTGATTTCCCCTGAATGCTCAGTGAATGTAACAAAACAAAATCCAGACATTGTGTTCCACACCTTCACCTAAAACAAGCAGGGGAAAAAAGTCTTGGTACACTCATAAACTACATTAAAAAACATCAGATACATGCAATTGATATCTAAAATGAAATTCATGTTTTAAAATATTTCTTAAATACTTTAAAAAAATATGTTCCAAAATAATTTGAAAAAATTGAAATATGAACACATTTGCACTCTTAAAAAAAACATCTTCCTTTTAAAGCGTACAAAAAATAGGAACTAATTAGATGACCAAAGAAATATAACTGTTTAAGCTCTAGCAAAAATACCTATTATAGTTACTGAAGAAATATAACTTTAAAAAAAAAATGAAGAAAAAATATTACCTTTCCATCCCCACCCCCAGTGACAATGTTCTGCCCATCAGGTGAGTACGTGACACACGTCATGTTGTTGAAATGACCTTGCTGCTTCAGCACATAAGACTCTGACTGCCACTCCCACACTAGCAGCTGTCCCAGCTTGCCACAGCCAAGAGCTATCCAGTCTCCACTGTTGTTGATGGCTATAGAGTCTATACTCTGTTCAGATATACTTGAAAATAGAGAAAAAAATGTGTATGTATTATTAACAATTAAAAAAAGCTGTAAACTAAAATACTATACTTATCATAAGCTCTTTAAAATAAATAAGAAATTAGAATGTGAAATAAATACAAAATATGAAACAAAGAGGAGAGCAGTTAAAAATAAATTAATGTTTGTGAAAAAAAAATCTACCTCAAAGAATGAATCAAGCTGAAACCTGGCATTTCATGAAGGAAGAATGTACCATCAGAAAAACCAGACACCAGTAAATGTGAAGATTTATGGAAAGCTGTGGCTGTCAACTCAGAAAATTCACATCCTTTACGGACATCTCTATATGAAAATCTATGGCAAGAATAATTGTGAACAAATTAGGATAAACTTTAAAAAAAAAAAATTTCCATCTCTAATCATAAAACAATAAATTCTAAGACTGCAGATTAATTAAGGCATTAATGAGATTAAAACATAATATAATGATTATTTTTGCTGTGTATTTTACACATTTTTTATCAACAATAATTAATTGTAACAAAACTATATAAAGTAATTTAATAAAAATGTAATGCTTACTTTCCACCCGGTGAATACAACACGCCTTTAACTGGAAACAAAAGTTTTGTAATAATTAATGACAGATGAGACTGATGATAAACAAATAGCTGATCAAATATCAACTAAACAGTTTACCTATACATACAAGGACCACTAACCTGGCTCATCTTTCTTTGCAGTCACCTTTTTCTTAGATTTTTCAACCTCCTCGTCTTCCTCTTGGCTTTTCTCAACTTGCTCCTCCCAGGGTTGTAGATCTTTTAGTTTTGTATCACACTTCCACACAAACACATAACCATCTCTAGCGACACAATAAAGCTGGCAAGTTTGGTTAAGGATGTCTTATCATAGTTTTCTTTCATTATCAATGTGGTTTTTAATTGAAAAAATAACAATTAGTTGGATAAAAAATAAATTCATTAAGTTTAAAAACTTTTAAATGCATTAAAATAAAATAATTATTCTTAAGCTATGATAGTAAAATAAATTGCTCTACTAGAAACAGGTCAAAATTGACTTGCTTACAGATATTGTGAACAAAGTAAAAAACGTGTAAAAAACAAACACGTATCATAAAGTAAATGTCAGCAAAGGATACATCTAAAGAATTGTAGTCAAAATAAGACCCAACTACAACATCACGTAAACCACCCAAGTCATATACATTGAGATTCTTTAATCTCTCAGCTGCTACAACTCTAGTTCGTCTGTCTTTTGAACCAGTGCATAAAACCCTACAGAAAAAATAACATATTTAGCAACAGCAAGAAAGTAATATAGTTAAAAAGAAAATAATATATTTAAAAAGAAAATGCAGATGTAATAAAATTTGTCTATTCCTCAAAACAATCATATTATTGTCATATTAAATTCATTACTCCTCAAAATAAACCTATTACTTTAACATTAAAATTCATAGTACATTAAAACAATAAAACTAAATTTAACTTAATATAACTACAAAAGTTTATCAAAACACCTTGAATCTGATGACCAGTCCAGTGACACAGCATCATCAACATGACCAGGAAATGTCTTGTACAGAACAAATGGATTAAACTCATAAGTTTTTCCAGGTGCATGGAATACCTGCACAACACTGTCTCTTGTTGCAGCAAATTTCCTAATTAGAGAGGCAATAAATATGTCATATGAGAACTGTCTTAAAAAAACACACAATAATAAAATAAAGCACATAAAAGAAGAACAATGAGGTTTAAGTTTAAGGCACACATAAACATAATTCCAGCCCCCATTTATAACTTGTAAACTAAAGTGCCAGCTCTTTTTAGAACTAAGAAATTTAAAAGAAATTAGAAATTTTGACAACAAAGAGTTTTTTTTACCTTCCATCAGGGGAGAACTTGATCTGATAGACTTCATGGTGAAAATGGTAATTACCTAGCACACTGTTGCTTATCAGACTTACAAGGATGGCTTCACCACCTAAAAGCATAGTGCTAGTGTCACAAATGTGATAACATTTTAAAACAGAAACGTACAGCTCTTATATTTAGTAATCAAAATAGATATAATATGAATATATAAAGTACCACCTTCAGTAACTAATATGGCAGTGCGTCCATCAGGAGAAATGGCAGTACATGTTATGTTGACCTTGGTCTCAATAGGCAAGGTATTGGATTTATTGCTGCACAAAAAAGACATGTTCAGAACAATTAAATAATTAAAAATGCACGGTGACTATCTTTTTCAAAGTGAATAAGGAAGAAAACAGCATAAAGTATTTCCTATATTAATAAATGATAATCTTTGTAAGAAATTTATCTAATTTGTGCAAATGAAAATAAATAACCACATTATACATTATTTGCTGACTTATTTAGTTGTACATTTTAAAATATACTTCATATAATTTACACAAGATGTGATTTAATGGAGCATTTTTTGTAATTGTATGGGGGTGAGGGTAGGGTACAGTGATTTTTTTTTATATACTAAGATAATTATTTTTAAAATTCAGATGGGCATGTTAATTTCAAAAATGTTTTCTAAATCTCATTTTTCAACTCACAAAATTGGTTTATACTATGACATAATTGTTACTTTGAGAAAAAATATCAAAAGCCCATGCAAATAAAATGACAGTAGCTGAATGTGTTTTCTGCCAAATTAGTAGCTTACCACTACAAGGGTTTATAAATTTCTAATTTCTTACCTCTTAAGATCAAAAACAGAGATTCTATTGCCAACAGGGCTAATTACACTGTTTCCATCTGGGGTAAAAATAACATTTCCCTTTTTATAGACAGATCCAAGTAAATTGGAGAACTGAGAAATATGAAAACAATGGACATGGAATTAGACTAAAGTAAAATCTTTTTAAACATTAGAATTGAGGTTAAATTGTGAGAGTAATACTAAATATGCAGGCCTGCTCAAAATATAACGAGCTGCATACCCGTGCTTGGCCACGGTGAATCTATAGTTTACTGGTAGTGAACTAAATACTGTACACACATGGCTGGCTAATGTCAATGCTAACCCTGTCCCTAACCCTAACACTGGTCCTACCATACGCCTAACCCTAATTTCTAACCATAAAATTAGTAGAGATTACAATACTACTAAACTAACAACCCAACACCCCTTTTTTAAAGAAGATTCCATTATTGGACACCGGTATCTATAATCATCAAAAAAATTCATGAAAAAATAGGGCAAATGATTTCCTAACGTTTTTGTGTGTTTATAGGCTAATAACATACGCTCAACTGGAGGTGAATGTGAAGCGGGGAATAAAATTAAAATAATAGGCCTACACTAAAATATTAAAATGGAGTTTTACCCTAGATTCAGATTGGTCTAGATTCTAGATCTATTCTTTTTAGGGTAATCTTTCGTTTTGGGTACGTAAAATCGCCGCGACTAGTAATGTGAAAAACAGGTGACTCCATAAATTTTAATAATTATTTCACATTTTGAGGAGGAGTTATATTTAGAAAAATACAAAAATGTTTCCTTGTTTCATTTATGAACCTGTTTTTAAACGATTGAATTAAAAGTTTTCAGTAATAAATGAAGACTAGCGATGTTGTCTAGCCATCTTGTCTAAGTTTTTTTTCTAAACTTATAGTGCAAGATTCATGGGGAAGCCACTCTATATTACAAATGCCTGCTGTTTATATAGCAAATCTTACACGCAAACACTGCTGTTTGTTTAAGTTTAGGCCTAAACTAAAGTTAATTTCTTTAACTTTAATTTGTTAATATTTAGGCCTAACCATTGATTTAGGTTTATTATAATTATTATTCATTTATCTACAATATTTGACACAAATATATCACAATATACGGTAAAATCACGATATAGCGTCGGTTATTATTCCGGAACTGTACAGCAGTAAAAAACAGTAAAACCATGGCGTAGTCTGTCGAGCCGTTCCGGAAACCACCGGAAATACTGTAAACCATCATTTATTTGCCGCCATATTATTTTTAGTACATAATGTTTAAAAATGTGCAAGGATTGATTTTAGTTGCATTTTAAATACTGTTTTGCTAATTATTTTGTATTTCTAATTATTTAAGTCTATGTGCTAATTATTGCTGCTACTAAACATTATTCTGGTTATTCTTACTACTTTTAACTTTAGTTAATCTAGCCTAATCGTCTTATTTACTAACAGAACTAGAGCTGGTTGTCGCAAATCTTCTGCAGGTTTTTTCTGTTTCTTAAAAAAAACATTAATTACTACACTCGAATTTATTAATAATATTTAGATTTACTAATTGTTGCTAATTTTTTGTCAGTTAAACATTAAATTAAGTTAAAACATTAATTTAATGCACTTGACTTTTATTTTTCTTTCACCGGTCAAATAAAGTATTGTTTACAGTAACGAATGTTACCGAAACTCAACGAACATTACCCAATAATTTCCGACGCTATATCGTGATTTTACCCAATATACTTCTATTAACTATTAAAGCCTTGACAATGAGGCAACTTTTTCGTACATTAGAAGCCGCGGGCGATTTTACGTACCCAGAACGATAAGATTATTAAGATTACCCGGCCTTTTTACTTTTTAATTTTTAACTAGATTCTCTAGATCTAGATTCTAGACCTACATTGAAGTGATTAAATCAAATCATTAAAGCATGATTTTAAGTTTAAGTGTAAAGAAATAAAGTTAACGCATATCTCAAGATTACGGTGATATAGATCCAGATCTAATTGCAAAGGTTTTAATACCTGAAAAGAAAACTTCATTGTAGATCTACATCAAATCAGAGTTCTATTTTGAAGGAAGCATGTCTTTGTTTTTTTCGTTTCGCTGTGTTCGATTGCTACTGTTTTACATTTACACCCGCCCTCGCACGAGTTTAATTTTCCATTATTTATAATTATTTCTGCATCTTCTCATTTAACCTTTTTAAAACTAAATTTTAGTTATACATATTTATATTTGATAGGGCTGATTATAAGCGTGCTTTGGAACAATGACAAAATAACAAGTGAGAATCGGATTAGTATCATGTCATAGAAAGATTATTATTATTAAATATAAAAGCCAAAAGCCCACATCGACTACCACGTTATACCTAAAGTTTATTTTGATTGATCCAACTGTATGTTTGCCTTTTTTTTCTGAATGTAAATAATGACTTTAAAAAAATAAATAGTCATAAAAATTTAATATCAATATAGACCTAGATCTAGAATTCCAGATCTACCTGTGTTGGGAGAGGGGGGGGGGCGTGGTTTGTTGATGCATGCTGTCATTTCAAGTGAGGGGAGAAATACGGTATTTGTGGGGTGTGGAGGAAATCGTCACAAAAAGCTTAGATCTATATGTGATTGCCTATTTATTAGTGTTTAATAGTTCGCTCGCTTACATTAGGTCATTAGGAGCCATAGACTTTCATAGATTCACGATTTCTATGCAAGTTATGGCCTAATTATAGCATTATTTTTTTCCCGAAAGTAGACCGGAAGCATATGACACTTGTAACTTTGTAAGCCTTATTGTGATTGGACTACACGGTTATGTAAAACCAATGCTATTTTGCCTTATAAAAGAGCCCTTCCTTATGAGAGTCACATGATCATATGACTACTACGTCACTCGCCATCTTGCAGATCCCGAGCTAAGCATTCATTTTGCATTCATTTTTGTTAGAGGTAGTTTCTAGATCCAGCTTACTCCTAAAACCAAAGAAAATGTCTGGCTCTACATACGATATGAACGCACCTCCCTATGCTGGCTTCTTTGGCGTAATGGGAGTAACGTCTGCTATTTCATTTTGTGGTAAGTATTCCTCATATTAATAAACAAAAATTATGACGTCTGCTAGTTGTGGGTGTTTTTATTTTCAATATTTTGGACTTATTGGTAAAATCACCAGTATTAAAATTAATATTATAGAATTTATCTAAATCTAGACTAGATCTAGATAGATCTAGATCTATTACTAAAAGTTCAAAGCTAAGATCTAGATCTAGATTCAGACATTTTCAAAAAAATCATTAAAATGAAGTTAGCTGCAATGGCAATTTTCTCATTAAAAAAAAGTGAAAAGTCATACAAGTGAGAAATTATATTTTAATTAATGTAGATCTAGATCTAGATTCTAGATCTAGAATAATCTAGATTTAAGTTTTTTTGCTTAAAACTTAAAAGACTTTTGTAATTTTCATGATCTAGATTTAGTTAATTTTACATATTCGATAGGTTGACTGTTAATTCTATTTTTGAATGTCTTTACAGCATTGGGTGCAGCTTATGGAACAGCCAAATCAGGCACTGGAATCTCAGCAATGGCTGTTATGAAGCCTGAACTCATCATGAAATCTGTTATTCCAGTCGTCATGGCTGGTATCATTGCCATTTATGGTCTGGTCGTGGCTGTAGTTATTACACAGGATATGCCAAAGGATGGCTATTCACTTTTCAAGTAAGTTAAAATTTAAATTGATCTAGATTCTATAATCTATAACATCTAGAGTCTACCAGAGGCGCAATTTTTCTTTTTTTTTCTCCAAGAAATATTTATCCCTTAGAGAAATTTTAATGTGTGAGAATAAAGTAAATTTGCATTTCACTTTTTATTCCTAATCTTTCTGTTAAATTCATAATTTCCATGTATAAAGATCTTAAAATGCCTTTGTATTTGTCAGAATTTTGGCAGTATATTCAGTTTCCGATGTAAAACTGTTTTATACTAAATATTTTGGTGTCTGTTAGATCATTATGTTTTAATAGTTACTGTCAATGAGTTTGTTAATGTTCAATTTTAAAATTTCAGGAGTTTCACTCATCTTGGTGCAGGTCTTAGTGTTGGTCTTAGTGGGATGGCTGCTGGCTTTGCTATTGGAATAGTAGGAGACGCAGGTGTTCGGGGTACGGCACAGCAACCAAGGTTATTCGTCGGCATGATTCTAATTCTCATTTTTGCGGAAGTGTTGGGTCTATATGGGCTCATCGTTGCCCTTATTTTGTCAGTAAAGTAGATCTTTCCAAAGTTAATATCTCTAAAGCCAAGAAAAGAGCAGTTATAGTATGGTTTATTTTTCAAAATGCCAACTTAAGGGCGGTCTTCTTAGTTTTAAGTGTTAGCTGAAATTGATCCTTTCCCTTGAATCTAGCATATAGTGTACCTGATAAATATTGTATTGTGGGTTTAGTAAGTGATAAAGTTAATTTTTGAACTGGTTCTCATTTTGTTAGTTTAATTTTTACCACTATTTTCATGACAAGCGTTTATACCAGACAGAGAAATTCTGCAGCTAACTTTTGGACTAACTTTCCCAATCAAAACTTTTCAGAACTTAAATATTTTGCACATTGTATAGGCCCTTCTTGTCTATTTGTAAAAATATTCTTGGCCCCAAAAATTAAATAATTTCTGATGAGGTTGGCCTAAAGCAAATTACCATTTAGGAATGTGCCAAATAGGTATTATTTCTTTCTCTATAATTTTGACAACTTAAAGGGCGAATTTTCCACTAAATTGCTGTGATTAGTTAATGGACACTGTTGCATTCTACTTTGTTGTGGATTAAATTGAATAATGCACAACTAAGATGGTTGTTCATCAATTGATGAATTAGAAAACAGGTGTCAATATATATAATATATATAAACCTTATTTCATGTCATGTTTTAAAAGCCATGTATAACAGGATTTTGTTTTTAATTCATTTTGTTCAAAGTGATTTCTGTTCATGTTAATCAGTTTTTGGTCAGCTCTAAGCTCAACTGCTTATCTAAATTACAGCTTAAAAGAAATTTTGCTAGCTTAAAAATAAAGCATTGAGGAGCTCTGTGACTGTAAATCTTTGTCAATAAAAGGGTAATCTGTAGATTCTTGGGATGCAATTTTTGGTCAAAACTTCACATGTAATGTTATGAAATTTAACATTCCGTTCATTGTAATCTTGGAAAATTAAAGTAGAATTTTTAAAGCTTTCATCTGTCCAATCACTTGTTTGCTTTAAGTAGTTGATGTAACCCTTGTTTCTGATGTTTACTACTTATTTCACCTAGTACCCACTCTATTTTTGAAGGGTAGAACATTTTTGGTTGTCAAATTATCTTGAATGTTGGCATCTTTGTGTTAGTTTCATGGTATTCACCAGATTTTGTTGTAGATAGTTGCCATGTTATTGTACAGGTCTAGTGCTAGATAATTTATGGAATGAATGTTTGTCAAGAATGACTCGTATTTTTTGTTAATTACTAGTGTCCATGTTATCATTTTCTATTTTTTTTAAAATAGAAAGATCTGTGTGGTGCACTCAAGCATTTGATACTCGTATTTTAACAGTAAATACTAAGTCATCATTATGAGTGTCAGGATGATAGCTAATTTATACTATTCTATACTTTTAAAAACAAAATACTTGGAAATTGTATTATGAAGAATCCTAATAAACTGTAGAGGCAATCATGTGTATTTAATCTATTGTAAGAGAGTCTAAACATTATCATTGTGTGGATGATTGAACCTTTTTTTTTAGTTTGGTAGTATTTTTGGTTGTGCATTTGAGTGAGGTCAAAAGAAAATAAAAGGTATAAAACTTCCATAAGTTCATAAGGAAACTTTTGTAAGAGTAGTGATTCTTGCCTAGAAAAGTTGGTTTGAGTGTGCATGTTTTTTCTATTGGTGTCATGCAGTAATGTCAATAAAAGTTTAAATCTTTATGGAGTTCTTGCATTTAATTAACATTTCACTGGCATATCAAATAGTGAATTTCAATTGGATATTTCAACACTTGCCAGGACCTATCATATTTTCACACCCAGAGAACATTTTTACCAAATACAATCATAACAAGTCAGGGAGCATTTGATGGCATGGTTTATTCACTACTTATGAAATCCATGGATGCATTATAAAATATCAAATCACAAATCTTGGTACACGTTACATGAAAATGTGTATAAACAGGAAGGACTAACACAAAACAACGAAGTGGAAGACAAACTATTCAATCTTGGCCAGTGCCTTCTCCAGCAGGAGTTGTAACCTGGATACTCCAATCCTTGGATCATCTATCAGCCCTGCGTTTATCATGGCATTGTCGTACAGCTGCAATGAAATTTTTTTTTTTAACCCTATCCCTACAAGGCGGGTCAAATTGACCCGACGATGTTACATTTTAGTTAATTACCGGTCAACCAATGGACCAATTGTTTTGAGCTTCTAGATATGCTACCTACACATACAATGCTTGATTTCAACATAAAAATGAATGTTTAATTTTGCACGTGTGCATGAGGGTGAGCAGGTTTAGGTTCACTATTCCTCTCCCTACTAACGTGGGTCAAATTGACCCGTATACATTTATATAGAGAAAAATTCTACTAGTGTAGGGGAATGTGGTACAAATCTATAGAAGTTTCAAACAACTTCCCTTGGGGCTAGACTTTTGGGCTCATAAGTTTGTATCCCTTCCTGCCTTACTGAAGACACCAATTAGAAACATTTTTTTCATCGCCGAAGCACAACAATCCTTTGTTCAACATTGTTGATAGCATGTTTTTAGACTCAACCTTCTTGTTACAAATAAAACTGTAGTGGATTGCTAGGTTTGGGCCTACACATTGAGAAGGTGTAAGGAAAGACATACCAACCGATGACTGCATGGGTTCATTGGCTACTGTATCAATTTGAAAGCAATGAATCAGACCTGAACTTATTTTTGCTGCTGAATTTGGAAATTAGGGCCATACTGTCAATAAAGTATTTAGGAAGTTGTGTAATAGGCTTTGATATAGTAAAAATACAGCAGAAAGTCAATATTGATTTGTCTCTATGCAGTCTTTTGTGGTAAAAGCCATCTTATGAGGTCAGTTTTATGGTCCGTGGGTGTTAGACCATGTCACCTCAGACAGTCCAACCATAGTTGGGTAAAATAGGACCAACTCCTTGACTACAGCTGTGAAGAACATGGAACCATATTTTGATAAATCAATGGATCTTGATATCAGAGATTGATACATTGGTTATCTCTATAACTTTGTACTTTACATTGAACTAAGTTTTTGGCTACTAATCTGTGTCAAGCATGTATATTGATGCCAAAATGATGACATCAAAATGGAAAGACTGCATAGATTCATCCATGTATGGCTCTAGCAATATGCCCCAGTGGGCAAACTAAGTGATAGCTGATTACTATATTTTTCAATTTGCAACTAATGTCTCCAATAAGTTGAAATACAGAGTGACAGCTATTACAAATAGACAGCAGCAGATTTACAAAATTTGTATATTGTCAAAAGAGTTGGTTCTGCCCCAAGTTGAGCTTTGAGCACAGAGTACTATGTCCAAGCTGCTGCAATTCACATTAGATCAAATAGTAGACAAAATGATGCCTTCTGAAACCACCCACTGAGTGTTGGGCCCAATAGCGCCATCCAAACAAAAGTTATTCTGCGAGATACGATAACATGTTAGATGAGAAAATATCAACTATTTGTCAAATATATAGATTCTATCTCTAGTCTATATAGTATATAGCTTTACTGTGCAAACTGATAATAATTGTGATTAAGTTTTCTTGCATATGAAAAATATATTGATAGTAAAGGTATAAGTTTTTATATTTAGTAACGTCTAGTTTTATTTATGCCTAAAAAGTATAATAATAAAATACCTAAAACTAAAATTTAGTGTAGAAATGTATAAACTATAATTTTAGAGACCATTTATCATTAAAATAATAGTTATGCTGGAAAAAATATACATATGCAATAATAGATTCTTATATAAAATGTATACGGGTCAAAATGACCCGCCTTGTAGTCGAATACAGTGAAATAGGGTTGTAGGGATAGGGTTAAAGAATGGCCTACGTACATGGCATCAAATTATTAGGTGGAGAGGACTTTATTAATTATGAAAAATATGACAGCAATACGCATGAGTTGTGTGACCAGTGTTGTAAAGTGCTTGGGGTAACAAGTTATGGGGATCTATATTGGACATGTATTACAACGATTAAAAAAAATATTTCAACAATGGACGTCAGTGACCGTCTCGTGGATGTTAAAGGGCAGGAACCAGCTTGCCCATCGAGATGAAACGGTCAGATGAAAGTCACACGTCTCTAGTCGATCGTTCTGTCACATGTTTTACAGCAACACAAAGATCACGCGTGACACAGAGGCCGAGTCGCTAGTGTAAGAATTCTTGCTGTACCTATGGGCCCCCAGTGGCGTAGCCGGGGGGGGGGGGGGATACTTTATTTTTCGAATTGCATTAGTTTATTATACACTGTCGAAATAAAGTAAATAGCCAAATCCGCGGCATAACATTGATAGTAAAGGATCACATTTAATACTGTTGCGGCCGACGTTAATGGCTTGTGGCCCGCTTTTTACTGGATTGGTGTGTAGACAAGTGTTGTAGAACACATAGCCAATTGTAGGAAAATAAAATGTGCTGACAGTTGATTGGTGTGAGGCTTACACCAATCAACTCTCAGCTGATATAGTGGTTTACGTTATATTCTTAATTTATACGTAAACAGACTTTTCAAAGATGCTGATAGTGATACGACAAAACTTTAATAATCAAGTAAATTTTACACGGATTTTTACCAATTTGATGTCGATAAATCATCTATGAGTATTGTCAATTAGTTTAAAATTGTTTGAACATTCAGTAATGGCTCGAAAAAAAAAAGAAGACAAGTTTATAGAGTAAAGCCTTGTACTACTTAATTTTAACTGCTCAACTAAAACTAATGACAATAACAACAATTATCGAATACTGCTAAAATTTGTATGGCGTACTACTTGTTTTAGCTACCCCACGGTCTTACTAGTCCTAACTACCCCACCGTCCTACCAGTCCTATCTACCCCACCGTCCTACCAGTCCTAACTACCCCATCGTCCTACCAGCCCCAACTACCCCACCGTCCTACCAGCCCCAAGTTCCTACCAGTCCTAACTACCCCACCGTCCTACCAGTCCTAACTACCCCACCGTCCTACCAGCCCCAAGTTCCTACCAGTCCTAACTACCCCATCGTCCTACCAGCCCCAAGTTCCTACCAGTCCTAACTACCCCACCGTCCTACCAGCCACAAGTTCCTACCAGTCCTAACTACCCCACCGTCCTACCAGTCCTAACTACCCCACCATCCTACCAGTCCTAACTACCCCACCGTCCTACCAGTCCTAACTACCCCACCGTCCTACCAGTCCTAACTACCCCACCGTCCTACCAGCCCAAGTTCCTACCAGTCCTAACTACCCCACGGTCCTTATGCATGGTCCTACCTCTTAATTCACCTACTCATAATAACTGTCACATGCTTCTACATCTATGTGACAATGTACTAACTCATTAAATGTGCAATGGACCTCGTTTTGGAGGGCGAAATAATACAATTATTAATGCGTTATTTTTGTTATGTTAGATAAAATTAGACTTAAGTCAACCTGTAAGCTAACAACAAAATATCTTTTTACTTTTGTAACTGCGTTTAAAAAAAATGTGTATCTTAACAAGCAGACCACACCGCCCTATAAAACACAACAACATAAACACATCACCGAGACGTGACAGATACTAATTTGACTGGCTCTCATCAAGTTATCATTGTCACCACAGCCTCTACATAAACCTGCCTGTTTCCGCCTCCCTCGCCTCACGTAACGTAAGAGTTATTGGAGAAAACAGGGGGAATATTTGGTACTATGTGATTGCTTCAGAGCAAAAAAAAATTATATATCTCTCATTCGATAGTGTCTTATGTAAGGTGTGGGAACATACGACTAAACCTTGGGGATAAATTCACTCTTTGCAAGGGTTAGGGAAGGGAGGAATGACCTTTTTGGCATTCGCCAACCAGCATGAACCTTTTACAGACGAAACCATGTCAGAAGTGGAAGAAAAATTTGTAAAAAAAAAAAAATACACTGTGTTGCTTTGTTTTTGTGTACTAATAAATATTTATTACAAGTGAAAACTAAAAAAAAGACACATTGAAAGAAAGTTTATTATTCACATTTAAAATAAACGCAAAGTTGAGTTAATGTTACCCAAAGTTAAATCTTTATCTAATGAGATATTAACAAAGGCCCCAAGACCTAACACAGATAATCTTATCAAGAGCAGTTTATCATTAGAAAAAAAATGTGAATACACACTTAAACTACAGCACACCAACAACGTAAAACGTACATACTATATACTACAGATACAGACTCTAGTACAGGCTTAGCTCGACTGTAAAAAAAAAAATAGAAGTGGACTGGGCTGACTGACTGGGGTAAAACAGCCTCTGAGCACCATAGCTAGCACACGTGACGTAATTAATTGTATTGCACTGCTCCAAATGCTCACCAAACAACAACTGGTACACTTCACAAACAGATGGCGTGTAGGCCTATACTGTCCGAGTTCTCGAGCGTTTAGCACGGAGGGATTACGTCTGAGTGACGGCCACAATGCTGCACTCATTTCACTGTTGTTGTTTAAAGGAAATATTTATAAGACTTGGGGCCGATGTCATAACGGTCCACACGAGTAGCTGACCACAAAAATGAACATCACTGCTAATATAAAAAAATTAACAGCTAACTAATTAACACGGTATGAGTGAGCTTAAACCGGGAGCCATTGGCCGTAGCCCCTCCCCCAAATGCGCCAATGAAGGATATGGTAGTGTAGAGACGTACACAGACTGAAGGTGTTTACCGGATATATTTTCCCTAGTAAATTTTTTGGTGTGGGAAAAAAACACCACTGGAGCTTTGACAAACCGGATCATCCGTAGTGGTTACAAGTGAGCGGAGTACTACAACTAACAGAAAGTATAAACAACAACTCAAAACACTGTATACAGTTATAAAAATTACATGTTAGTATAGTTGGTAGTTAAGACACCGCTGGATCACGTGATTTAAGGTCAACCAACACAGCAACAGGACAAACAAAACAATCCAGTTAAAAAAAACTGGCTGTAGATCTATAAACTGCGATACAAAACAACTGGTAAGGATCAACAAAAGGACCTCATTAAAATAGTAAAACAACTTGTCAAACTTTTAATGATCTGCGCGGTCACATGATA